TCAGCTACCTACCGTTTTTATAGTGGAATCCGAGCCACATTTTTACCTTGGTATATATGAATTGGTCTAATTATCAGGATAGTACTGTAGATAGTCGTAGTACTGACTCGTGCGAACGTTCCTCCTTCACACCAGGGAGTATCGCATCCACAGTGCATGCCTATAAATATACACAATAGGATATAATTCCTAAATAACCATACAAATATAAATTATAGGGAGAGAAATCCTTGTTGGATAGTGTAAAATGATTTTGAAACAGTGTACGACTCAAGCAGGTGTAGTGTTGGATTGGAAGACTTCGGTCCTGGGTTAAGGTGCTGGGTTCAAAACCTGCCAATCACCATGGGTAGCTATGAAAAAAGCCGCGAGCCTTTATGCCTATCCTGAAATAATATGGAAGTAGGTTTTAGGCTAGAACATGAAGAAATTGCGTTACAAAAGGTGGATAGAGGCAGTAAAATATTACAATTAGAAGGTAATACGTTGCTTAATTTTTATCGACTGTCAATCTTAAGGATCCGTCGGCTGCGCATTATACTCAAGTTGATAAAGTACCACATAAACAAGCTATATGACCAAAGTAAAAATACATCACACCGGCAAAGTCAGGAATATCTATTTTCTTGTGCAAAATTTCGTATATAATTTTGCTCTGATTAATCTTAGTCCCAAACCACACTAAAAATAACCCCATAACACTCCCTCAAAGCCGATACAGCATCCAAGATAGCACACGATAAACAACCTTTTCCACATCGCCACTATATTTTCTTATATGAAGCAGAAACACTGTTGAGTGATGATCAATCATGACCTACATAACTTGAATACCATGGTCAGTTCTACTGTCAAATGTGTGCAGGGGATGGGGGAGATAACAGTGAAGGGGGGAGGATTGTGGTCCTACTGTGCAGGTGATCGATATGCGAACATGTGTTGGTGCATTTATGCTAATGATGCACCATGCTATCCGTCCTGGCTATGCACAATCCTGCAGCATATATGTCGAATGCCACAGTGTGGATTGGATGCTATCAAGCATACAGAGTTTATAATATGTTACGGGTTTTTACTTAACGGAGATAAGTGAATATTCAAAAGTAACCTGAGGGTTGCGAATTTGATTTTAAAATGTTTGAAGCATCGTTTTTTTTTTAAACATGTTGTTCTGCCTTATCTGTTAGATTTTGTAAAATACTTTTGACTGAACTAAGTCAGTTCAAAAGTACAGAAGGTACTTTATTTCTACTCTTAACTATCTTGTCAAAAAATATTTTATTGTTCTTGATAATTTGGACTCAAACTGCTTAAAATCTAAATTAGGTTCAACATACAAGAAAGATACAAGCTATACAAGCTATATAGCTACTGGTCGTGTCTTTTGTAAATTAAATAATATAAAGAATTTGTTTTATTCCCTAGCTTATCTATGACTCCACATGTTAATTTAATCTTTTACTATTCAATCAGTTAGTCTCTGTAATACTTTGCACTTACTACAGTGAACTTCTTTTGGCTTTAACATGCAGTATTTCAATTTATTTGAGCAAGCCAGTGAAGGATTTTATGAGTCTCCTAGTTCTAGACAGTAGGTCTATACAAACCGTCTGTGATTTTATGTAGTAGGCCTATATAGTACTGTGCCACTAAAACCACAGCTATGCCCAGCGGATTGATGCTTGGGTTAGATTAATGGATCATTGGGACATCACCAAAGTTCCAAAGTCCCTTGGACAATCGGCTAAGTGACCTACGAGTCCAAACACCCGAGCTTATGGATTTGGTCCATAATGATCGGATAGGCCCTCCGGGTTACATATAGTTAAACAAATTAAAATTTAAGTTTGTCAAGAGAATTAATAAACAACATACATTTGTTTTGTGCAAGAACAATTTATTTTGATATAGTTGGCATATTCAATAAAAAGTATTAATAGACAAAGGATTGGCTATTAAATGGGCAAGGTTAATGGGATATGAATTTCCTCTTAACACTATTTGTGCTGTCGACATGTTTGAACATAAAAGTTGCATTTATTTCAATGTTAAGCAATTGCGGGAATTCCCGTCATCAGCACCCAACGTGTTAACAATAAAACGTTTTTTGAAGACATATTTTTATGGCGATGTGAGGTATTTACCAACATTCTGGACTAAATTAGATGATGCATTCTAACTCATAATTTTATAAATACCTGTATAAAATTCCCCGGATCCCAAAGACTCTTATGCATGTCTTTAGTATCAACCTGTTCGTCCTTTTAGTCAAACGAAATTTGCTGACCAGTGTGATTCAAAACTCAAGAAAAAAGAATTTTAAACTAAACTTATAAAAATGAAAGAAGTTTATTTTGGGCAAACTATTATTTTTGCTCACATAACTACTATTTACATTATCCATTAATTATTTAAAATTATGCTCCGCATAAGGTGTAGAAAATAGGTAGATGGGCCGCAGAAGGTAAATGTAGATTCTTATTGAACATTGTGGTTTCATAAATTATCTCAACTAAAGCAAAAATACACCACTCTTGTTTGTCTTTGTCAGTTTCTTTTAGAAATCTTTTGGCAAGTATATTTACAAGTATTTTTTGTAAAAGATTGGTAACACTTACGATGGATTTAAATTAAAAACATCTTTTACCAACAAACCTGCCGGAGAAAACTCAAAGAAATAAACTCTAACGGATTTCCTTTCACGAATACATTTTGACGGTGTGGAAAGTTTTATCGGTAAATTTAATAACATTGAACGACGCACAAATCCCTGCAAAGTTATTTGAAAGGAATTTATGAAAATTGGATGGGGATAAGCTTACCTTTGATCCGAAGCTACGTGTGGAATCTTCTAAATACAACATTTACCGTGCTTATATTTGACTTGCGGGTTTTGCGGCAACGTGTTTAAAACCGTTTATATTAAATCGGGCCAATTTTAAAATGAAAATTCTCTTCTTTTGTTAGTAGTGTATATACGTAGTATTTTGTATCAGTTAACAAGACTTCACAATTAATTGTTTCTAAAATATTTCTACCACTTTTCTTGAGAAGTGTTCATAGTAATTTATGCATTTCATACACAATGTATGAGCATGTATAGTGGAACTATTTCCCCAACTACTGTGGCTTGTACATTATTTTAAAACTACTAAGCTAGGTTTGTGATTTGAAGGATTTAATTTATAAATAATTGCATGCCAGGATCAGGTAGGAGTCATCATAACTGACTTGTCTTCAAAGACTTGAACCAACTCCTCCTGCACTAGTAATCTTAGTTAGAAACTGTTTTAGGTCACATCACAGCTAACTGCTGGTATAATGCCACCACGCTTTGCCACCCTGGTACGATCAAAATATAATTGGTCAATTGTTGTATTAGGAGGCCATGATAAATTAGGAGTCATCATGACTGACTCAACGGGTAAGGTTCCTACCCAGCTCTGCCACCCTGGTAGGATCAGAATACAAAAGGTAAAATGTTGTATTATGATAAATTAGGCCATGATAAATTAGGATCATGACTGACTCTTTCCTAAAAATACCACCATGCTTTGCCACCCTGATTGGTCAATTGTTGTATTAGGAGGCCATGATAAATAAGGATTTATTATTTTTGCCATTTTTTATTAGGAGGTCAGGATGAAGTTAGGTTTAGCATGGTTGACTCAACTAGTAAATTTACTACAGGTTTCTGCCACATAAGTTTTATTATAGGATTTATCATGACTGACTCAACGAGTAAGGTTCCTACCAAGCTCTTGCCTGGTAGGACCAGAATATAAAAGGTAAATTGTTGTATCAGGAGGAATGATAAATTAGGAGTCATCATGACTGGCTCAACGAGTAAAGTTCCGGCCAAGTTCTGCCCTCTTGGTACACTTGTGATAAGATTCGTCCACTTTGTCGTATGAGGATATAATGAAGTAGGAGTCGTCATTGTTGACTCAACTGTGTATACATGTTCCTAAAAACTTCGGCCACCCTAGCAAGAAGACAAATAGTTAATTTTTGTGTTATGAGGTCTGGATAAAACTGAAGTAGTCATGCCAGACGCAACTAGTTTGGTTCCTAGCAAGTTTTAGCCCTTTGGTACTTCTACGAGAAATTTGATCAATTTAATATTAGGGTGATGTAGGAGTCGTCACGATTGACTCGACCAGTAAAGTTCTTGGAGCCAAAATGGCAAAATAGTAATCTTGACTAATTGAAAAGGAGAGTTTATACCATGTTCTACCAGCCTGGTGTCTTCCGAAGATAATTGGTAAATTATTGTATTAGGAGGACAGAATGTAAAAAAAAGCTTTCATAATTGTTTACTCATCTGGAAAAGTTCCTATCATTTTCTGCCAACCTGGTAGGCTAACAAGGTGCTAGCCATTTTTTATTAGGAGATCAGGATGAAGTTAGGTTTATCATGGTTGACTCAACTAGTAAATTTCCTACAGGTTTCTGCCACATAAGTTTTACTATAGTTACATGTTTTTGATTATACTTAACACACCTTTATATCTTATTAACAGATGTCTCTAGTGTCTTAACAAAAATATGTGTTATGCGATTAAACAAACTCTGTGCAGTTTAACTTGCCTTAGGAAGAAATTAAATAAGGAATACACTTTATATCTAAATAGTTGTTTATTTTAGATAGTCCACTCTTTGTAAAATACATGAAAAACCAATACATTAAAAGTTAGTTTAATACACATGTTATAACTATGGTAGACTTTGAATCTTTGGCAACTCATTTATACATTTCCCCAATCAACAATACTCCATCCATATTTGATTGCTATGCTCTCTATGATTAACAACTGGGTGGATGCTTATTTTAGGAATAAAGATACAATGTCACTTGACTAATACAAATTTGTTTACAAATTACGACTTTGAGTCGGATAAAATTTTTTCATATGGAATAATTTTATTGTAGTAAAATCCATATTTTAAAATGTTATTAAATAAACTGAAAAAACCGAAGATATTTTAAACATTATTTGCTATTTGATATTTGTTTTTTTAATAAAAAATATAAAATACATTCGTACCTTTTGGTGGCAATCTTTCTTTTACTCTACAAATAATTCAAATATTGTGATACCACAATAATTTACTAGTAATATAAAGTGGGAACTAAAGATCAAAAGTTCTTAAAATGTATTATGACATTCGAATAAAAGGAAAAAAATGGATACTAGATAATTCTCCAAAATAATCATCCACCCCTAAAGTTTAAGGTCACTCACTGTTCATTGCAGTCTTCACTCACTTTCCTTCTTATTTCTAAGTAATATCGTAAAAAATCTCAAAGACAACCAAACTATACATTAGTGTTATACAATCTCCACAGTATGTTACATATAAAATGCAATATCAAGAATGATTTACAAGTGATTTTTATTCGTATGTACATATTTACACTTTGAACACATTTATAATACTCAATTAATTGAGCAAATTTTTACCATGTTGCCGTGAATAGTTGAAACAATATTATTTCTGACATGTAGTCTAAATTTATTAAAATGAAAGAAGGAAATAGCATTTTGTCTCCAGTACACTTTGTTTTGTAAACTTAACATGATTTTTATACCTGTTATGAAAATAATGTTAACATTTCCACCAAACTAAAAGCATGTAAAATCAGCAGATAAAACGTGAACAGAAAGAAAATAAAGAAAACACGGGTTTAAACATACATCACAGTCATGTTTTTACATTTAACATTAACATTTAATTTAATAGTATCCAGATATGTTTAAGTAGTAATAAATGTTTAATGAGAATGTCCCTCAGATCACTTCTTGTTGAAAAAGAACAAGTCTGTTTCAACTCAAATTATAGTTCATATATTTTTTTAATGTCTAATTGTTTTTATAATTCAAAATTATGTTAGAGTTTATATTTTTGACCACATCTCAGGTTAGTCACACCTATACACTCGTCTGATGTTAGTCTGACATTAAACAACCGATAAATGCGTCGTTTGTGGCTTAGGCAGTTCTGTAGAATAGGATAACTCACATAAAACTAAATCCTCACTTTTACCCTTAGTCTCTACTCCTGTTTTACCCTTTTCACTAATAGTCCGAAGAGTTCGAAACATAAAACATCCACAACACATGAAGTGGTATAAGTAAAGCCGTTGTTGTCTCTAGGATAGATATTTCTTCTACCCCTTTCCACTCTTTTATGTCTACAGACGCTGATCACTCCAATTCCTGACTAAAAATGTTGGTAGTCTGACTAGATGGTTGTAGTAGATTGGTCTGATATTTGGTTGGTAAATACCAAAAACAAGTCCTTCAAGATGGTTTCTCTTACTAATCAACGCTACAGGTTTGGATCACTTCAAATACACACAGAAGGCCCTACGGTCTGGTTTGACGTGTAGTCTGATGCCTTTTTTGGTGTTCCCGATAAATTTCACTCCTCCTTTCAAAAGTAGACAATAACTTCAATTTGCTTGCAGACAGGCCCAACGATATAGCTTTATGAATAAAAGACGTTTGATTTTTAGTTGTTGGGAGGTCTTGAACAAACGTTAGATGGTTTCAATTCATACCCCAAACCAACACTAGATGCTCAAATCACTTCATTTATGGACTGAAGGGCCCGTCGGTCTGGCTAGACGGCTATAGAGTAGTCTGACGCTTGGTTGTGGTTGGTTGGTCTTGACCACAAACTAGATCGCAGTCCGAGTTTGAGTTTCTTGATAGTGTCAATGTCACACTCCGCTTCACTCAGCTCTGAACTCTGTGTCGGAGCGCCTCTAAACGACGTTTCTGCTATGGACAGCGAAGTCCTCATGGCCGACTTGCCGGGTGACAGCCATCTGGGAAAAATATTGAAATTTGTGATGGTTGTAATTTAAAAATACTTTTAAAACCAAAGGTACATTAATTTGTCCGAGGCCTGTCACATGATTTTACTTATTTGTACTCACTGGCTATACCAAAGACTGGTACATATAATATAGGTCTATAATTTAAGGACAATATCCCTAAAACATTATTTAGAAACTCTTCAAAAAGTTTGTAATTTCTTCATAATCACTATGGTTCACAGAGTTTGATTTAAGGCATGATCTTAGTTTACACGTACCTTGATCGTCCTCCCCTCCTTGGTAGAGACTTCTGTTCAGACATTGGTGAAATATCTGAAGATGTGCTTGACTGTGCTCCATGATAGATGAAGTCTAAATAGATACAGACATTAAATAGAATATTAGTGAAGAAATTGTTGCACCATTCAATGAATATGGAGGAGATGTGAAGTGTTCAATAATAGGATACTAGATTAACAGAAACATACATAGCTGCATACTAATTTAGTCAACTTATATTTCCTACTGGACGTTTTATTTGGCTAAACACAGAAATGAATGATCGGGGTTCCGTTTAAATCATGATTTAAAATGAAGTCCTGCTCAAAATTAACAAGTTTTATCCAATAACCTGAATTTTATAGGACAATTTTTATTTTTCTAACACTCATCTTCAAAAATCTATGTAGGCATGATTTTATATCCTTTTTTTCTAAGTCTTTTCTCTTTTTCAATGCAAGTATAGAAAACCCTTTATGGACACCACGGTCATCATACAGAGTTATCCATTATCCCATCGGTATTGGACATCTTTCATCTACAGTCTACTCATTCCAGTTTGACCCTTACCAAACTAGCTCTAGAGTTACTAGAGGCTAACCTAAACTACGTAATATATAATGTTGGCCATACACTGGCTTTGCCGCTGCTTAGCAGCGTCCAGCTGATTGGAGCTCTCAGTCCGGCTGCTAGTCAGCTGATCTGCTTCGCTGTCTGACTCGTCAGTTTCTGCGTCAGTCTTACGGCTGCTGCGTCTTCGGGCGCGTCGCACCTTGGAGCTCTGAAAGCAGAGTGGCTTAATCGTATTTCGATTGTTACAATATTACTAGGCTTGATCGTTACATGCATGGCTACACCTTCTGCGGTCCTTGAAGAAACCAGCAACGTATGAGAGAAATGCCGAAAGGTATAAGTTTAAGACATTTATTGTGGAATTAAATAATGACTCCAAAACATGGTAAATCTAAGAGGCAGAAACTGCACAACAAAATGTTGAAAGGTTATTACGTCCAAGAACTAGGAACAATGACTTACAATTACTACAAAAAGAATCATAGCCCCATTGAACTAGGAACAGGTGTTAATCACAAACAGCTCTCAACAAATTAAATATTTTAAATTTTAAATGTTCTGTTTTTAGGGATAAATTGTTATAAAAGAACAATAAAGATTGTTTACTCATCTTCAAATATTTTTATAGGAATTATGGGGCTCCTTAAGAAGCTTTATAAAGCTCAAATCTTCTGGCAAGGGATTACATTAATGTCTTCGTAACTTAATATAGTTACTTATTTAAGCTAGTAGTATTGTGCATACACTTACAGGGTTACATGTAAATGTGCAGTAAAGATGTTTTGAAGAGTGCTTTTTGTGATGAGTGTCATGATTACAGAAAATGATGGAGTTTTGAACAATATTGATGATCAACGAGTAATATTGCATGCTAAACCAAGCTATTTTAAGAATACACAACGTTAGAAATACGTAATTTGGCTAAGGAACATTGACTAAATTTATCCTTAAATAAAGTTAAATACATTTACCATTCATCTCATATGAGGGGTAAATCTTGATATTGATAATTAGGTTAATTATCATAAATCGATGCTTTAAAACTTATTATTTATATCTGTAGACACGAAATCTAAACGCAATCTATTATAGTGGCATTTCACATGTAAGAGGAGTCGGATTCACAAAAATATCTTACTAAATATTTCACCGATTTTCAATATTTCTAACGTTGTCGTATCCGTAGTTGTATGTAAGTGTGAGTGAGAAGGGTGTACGTACAGAGAAGTGTCGTGGACCTACCCCTGGTGGAGGGGGGGAGGCACAACCCTCAGTCATAGCTTGCTCGTGATACATGAAGCTGTGAAGCAGGGTGTTGTTGGGGTCGGCCAGCTGGAACGTGGCGTACGGAGATATGTCCTCTGAGGTCTCTGTGGAACAAGGAACACATGGTTTGGGTCGTTTTTGTTAATTCACCACCCCTATATATTTTGTTTGTGACAATATGTAATTGCAGTATTTTGTATGTCCTATTTCTAAAAAGCCCTAGCCTAGCCTAACCTAACTTAAAGTAACTAAGCCTAACCTAACCGAAGTCAACCTACATTTCCTAAAGACAGTATTGTAAAATCAATCCAAATTATTTCTGACCCCGTCTAGTACGTATAAGGAGTGACATTAATTGCCAATCTTCAGTTTGGTGTTGGAAAGACTCAGAAGATATTGTCTGAGTTGTGATACTCATATGCTTGAAAATTTAAGAATGTCTTTCCACATTTAAATTATAAAACTTGATATCGTCAGACGTTAAAAGTAATTTGCTATCGATCTTTTTTTCTAACAACAGCCTTTATAGGTTAAGAGATTAGATTGCATTATATATCATAGGGAAAGTAAAACGATCAAATTAGTCTTTTTAACCCTAAATAATATATCTATAATATTATATTGATGTGAAGTGCAGAATCGAAGAGATAATACCACCTCGTTGCCTAATAATACAAGTACCACTTCAAAGAGAAAGCATTACACAGCTCGAGTTCTGTTAAGACGTCTGTCTCATTACAATGTCAAACAATTTCGAAATGCAATTCAATTTTGATATTTGTTTCTGTTCTAGACGATGCTGTTACATAATAATTGGCTCTAGTTGGTCTGTTTGATACTTGAAAGGATTATTATTGGATCCATGCTTTTTGACCACACAACTTATAAGGTAATTAATTGTTCGTAGCTGGATGGATGCATAGTATAACAAATGTATTACGCTTAGGATAGGGAATTGACGAACTGCTTATCATCAAAGTAATTTAAATGTGATTAGTTATACTCTTGTCTCGTCTTTGGCCTACACAAGTACTTAAGTACTGTAATGCTAAAACGAACATGACTACATTCTGCAAAATGCTGGCTATTACTTTGACTAGCCGTGACCTTAAAAGTCTAAAAAGACAAGAAAGGAAAAAATACGAAAACTTCACTCACCTGGTATTTTGTCCGAGTTCGCCTGAAGTGCCACCTTATGTATGGTGGCGTAGTATCGCTCTCTCTGAGCTTCAGCGTTCTGCTGGTTGTCTAAAGTCTCCTTTACTGGCCTCTCTCGTCCTGTTGCGTTAGAAAAATGCAGATTATGAAAATGTATTTTTTACTAAAAATGATGGTTGAGGATCTTTTATAAAAGAGGCATGTCACTAAAACAATTTACCAATCCAAATGACGACTATGTAAATAAAGTTAGGTTATGTTAGGTTAGGTTCGGTTTTATTGAGAAGAGGTAGACTCAAGGTCAAAATTCATCAACCGCAGCTTATCAAGCATAATTGATTGAAAGGTAATTAGGACAGGTGAGGTTGGGACTGCTACGGAAAGTAAGTAAAATATCCCAATTAGGTTCAATATTTGTTTATATATTGCAAATTTATAATTTACATCACCTTAATTTGCACAGAGCAAATTAAAACAAGGGAAGCTTCCTTTTTGAAAATGTTCGGAGGTTTAAAGGGCATACATTTTACAAACTGGAATTTTTTAGGGTTCCAAATGTCTTGATACTCTGAAATTGACATGTTCATGAAAGTTACATTTTTTAGATTGGTTCAGGTCCATACTACAGGTATATTCGGGATCAGTTTGGCCTAAAATTCAAAGGATTTCTTGAGGATTAGTAACCTTTGATGACCTGATTGACAATGGACAAAGATTCATTTTCAAGAACAAGAGTTGAAAAGAGAACACGAATAAAACTACCATTTATGGTGTATTGATCTGATACTCACTTGTTTTTCTGCACAGTAAGAAGGCAGCGGCGACTGCCAGCAGTCCTAGGGTAGCTACCAGCAGCGGGAGAAGAACGCGGAAGTCCGTGTAGAACGGCTTAGACAGCTGCCCTCTACGTATTAGTTCTGGTGGAGGAAGTTCTGAAAATGACGTCATAATGATCAGTACAGCTGAGTGTTGCAAAGTATTCAAAGGATCAAACTAAACACTCATAGTCACGCTAAAAAGTTGAATACAGACATCTTATAGAATCAGGTCTTACCATGAACACATTGTGATGGCTACTCTCCATATGTAAACTAACCAACAACGTTCATTAAACTATTATTTCCATGTTAATAAAAAAAATCTTTGTAGTCTGTACAAACTCGTCGTTCGAAAACACCCAAAATTGTATCATAACTATTATATTTTCACCAGTAGGTATTAAAACGAGATGGAGTATATGGAACGTAACATTCCATAAAGAATGTAAAACAAGTAGTTAGTGAAGTAAATATATTACTGATTGCAATTAAAAACAACAAAATTTTAAACACTATGAGCCTTATGCACTTCATATGAAACCCCTTTAAAATTCCCATCCATGGATTAAATATGATGCAAACAAATATACGCGCAAATAAAACGCTACTAAAAGTTACCTCTTGAAAATTGAATAGGTCATTTAACGGTTACGGGAAAATGGAAAAAGAATAAACGTTGGCAATTAAAACTCATTTCGAGAAATGATATATTCCAGGCAATATCATCGTAATATTCGCCGTCGGAGGGAATAAACAGTTTAAAGCGGCTCCGACGTTATAAATGTTTGATGTTAAACGCCAGGTTCTGTAATGATGGAAAAACTTTCGTCTTAATTACAGCATCCTTTTAAACTGTTTCTGATTTTAATTTTTATACCTGGCTTGATATTAAAGATGTTTCAACAGGAGTTTAATTTTATTTTCAATAAACGTTTTGACAGTAAAACTTTTTTAGTTAGAATTATATGAAACAGTTGTCCACCAAGAGAATTTAGTCGTTTTATGGGTTTATAATAAAAGCTAATTTAAAATTCAGATTTAAAAAGTCAGTAAAACAATATAACCTTTATAATGTATTTTCAAATGTGTATTTTTTTATTCCACTGTAAGAAGGCAATCATTTATTCCTAAAGCTCGATGTCTTTCATAATAGCCTTTGTCAAAGTAGGAATGTTTATGATATTCAAATTTAGGGTATACTAAGATATTAGTTTTTTTAGTCGGAGTTTTTTTTCTGTATTCTCCTAATCTAATGTTTTTGGAGTTTACAAACTTCATTAGGACATCTCTGATTGTAAAACCACAATTAAACCTACGATATGAAAATGACAGATTTTAAAAAAGGAATTCATCCAACGTTATTCTCATAAAACAGTGTTAAAATGCGTGCTTTTATGATTCAAAACCAGTCATACCTCCATCTTTAGTGAGCGTGTAGAACGTGTAGTCACCAGTGGACGAGCCAGCGATGTTGTGTGCTTCTACTTGCAGAAGGTATTCTGTAGAAGGCAGCAGACCAGTCATGGTGTACCGTCTCTGAGGTTTCAGATTGTTTGAAACTGAAAATATGGTTCAGAAATCAGAGAGGGCTAAAGACGTACTTTGCAGAGTAATCTGTAAGAATGTAATTTGGGGGCTATTAATGTTTTATCGTTGCCCAATATCTTTTGACAATCTTTAGCAGTTTTGTAGATACTCAAGACTTAATTTTTAAGAAAAAAGGTATATTGAGATTGGTGTTAAAGCTCTTACAACGTTGGTAGATGTTTACTCCACGCTCTTCTTCTTTCTCCCAAATCGCAAAATATATTTATGCACGCAGATTTTACTTACTGCAGTATTTTGCGGTACTAGTTAGTTTACAACGTAATACTTTAATGGCTCTAAGCAATCGTAACCGTAATACAAATAAGCTATACAATTGTTAAGTTTTCCATTGAATTAGGAACACATTTTACAACTTGATAAAGACGACTATGTAAGTCATACTGATTAAACGTTTAGTTTTGTAACCTAACAAGAGTCTCATGATCATACATATTTTATTCAGGCTATAGTGGTTTAACTTACCCAGACAGATCACGCAGATGACAAATCGTTGATCATGACGTGACCAACGTCAAAAATTTTGTTGAAGTAAAGGACAACTAAATTTGGACTGGGACGTAACTAAAGGTAAATTACACCTCTATTTGTCTTGTCAGTTCAGGGAAAAGCCAAAACAATAAGTTAAATACATACTATCTGCAATAATATAACATCGCTCCGAACTAACCCAGTATCCACTCCGGGCCGTTGGCTTGTCTGTAGCGGACCACGAAATACAACAGAGGACACCCGTTGTCCGGCCAGACGTGGAGGCGCAGCATGACGGAGGTGGAGTTCGGGGTGAGGAAGGTAGAGGCGGGCGGAGTCCCCGGGTACTGTCCCTGGGTCCTGACAGATAAAGTAGGGCTTGGAGGTGAACTTCCGAGATGGTTGTGAACAGACAAGTAGATGTGGTATGTGCTGCCACACAAGAGACCCTGTAATAAAACCATCAGGTCATTATTACATGTTTCTAAACTTAAATGTTAGAAAATAATTTTAATCCTACTTGGTGGAACCTATTCAGAAATCTGTCATGAGGGTTTGCCTTCCTCTATTCCTTTAATAGACCTAAACAAAGTAAGACTCTCTCTTCTATTTCATCAACACAAAATTTTTCCAAAATCCTCTAAATCCAGATGACCAAGGCATAATTGACACCTAGAGCAAGTGGGGGCTTCTACTTGAGGAACTGATCTGTAGACGTTCACCAAAAAGTTAGGTAAATATTTTTTTTCAAGATAACATTGCTGTTGGCTTAATTGCTGTTCTGCCACCGGATGCGTTAAAAATAATCTCAATAATGGTGAATTTGTTTGAAACAACTACTACCTAGTTAAAGGAAAATAGAAGTGGAGCTGTAAATAATGACTTTTTGTTGCCAGTAATTATCTAGGCTAATATGTTAGGTTTCGTTCAGGTCACTAAGACTGCAAATGATTTCGATATTTTATGCATGTATCTTCTAGTAGATATTAATGATAAGTACTTTGGTTTAGTCATTTCTTTCATAATCATATTTATACACAAATCATATTTCTAAAATATTTAAGTATAACTTTAACAGGTTTTTTTTTTATATAAAGTTTCAAAATATAGATACGTTTCCCTGGTGTCTATTCACACCACACCCTGGCAAACTTTACCCACCTTAAGCTCATACCCCGTAGTCCTCCTTGACAGCGACAGCTCCTGCAAGTCACCGTGTGCTCTGCGGTAGTTGAGGGTATATGCCGTGATTGCGGCGTTGCCGTTGTCACCGGCCTTCCAATGGAGCAGGATACTGGCGCTAGTGGCACTGGTGACGTACAACACTGGAGCACTGGGAGGCACTGTAATAACAATAGACGTTGTACAATTTAACCACAGTTCCTAATGAGGCTACCTAGAACAGCTGACTATGATCTACTGGAACGATATTGGTGGTTTGCGTCGCTGTAACACTTTTTTTGTCCCAACCTCTTATCCTAGGACGCTAGTTCTAGCCCGGAACTTTTTTTACATATTACTTCAGGCTAGTCCTAGAGGGTTGCGGCATTATCATATGGATAAAATCCATTGACGATTGGTGGGATTTGAACCCAGGACCTCGCGCACCGAAGGCCCGCGCTCTACCACTAGAACAGCTCGCTCCCCCACTAATATTTATCATTCTTGTACTGTATCAGCTCAGCCCTTGCTTTGCTAAATACATTCCAAAAAACGGGCTGAGGGTTATTTGTAGACATGAAAATGCAAAATGAGATGAGTCTACAAAAGCTTAAAATGAGTATTTGATTTAACAGGCTACACTTATATATCCTGACTAAAGAAGAATTAGAATAAAGTCTCGAATTCAATGGCAAAACTGACGGGTTCGACCATTATACAAGAATTGAAGTATTAGGACCGCTTTTCCAAAAAAGGTTTTGTGATTTGAATTCAAATTTTTACTAGTGTAGACACTAAAAAAGTAAAAGAGGGAAAATACAGAATTAAGAGAAAAATAGTTTTTTAAAAAAATATTAGAGCTAAAATAAGGGTTAATCTGAATTTTTAAATATTTTTATTTGGATTTTAAAGCTATATTCCAAATCCTCACTTTGGTCCAGATTAACCTCTGTACGTATGATTTATATTGTATTTTAATGAACTAACAACTTCTATTATGGTAAAATATCTTAAAATTTACCAACTTAAAAATATATTTTACCACAACATCTTTTTATATTCCGTACAAAAAACACAGTAAAATGTGTCAATATTTTTTACTTAACTGTAAACCTTTTTACTGCTACTTGTCCTTTTATAATGTTGTTCTATATATATAAATCCGGCTGATACTAGATTTATTTTAGGATCTAAACCACTTTATTGAATAAAAAACACCTTTAGCTACGTAATTGAAGTTTCAATCAATACAAAGTATTAACAATATTAAACAAAACAATGAAACAATTTATTGTTGAGTGAAACAGTAAAATTATATAAATTCAAGATGCAAATTTCGCAGACGATAAAACGACAAGTTTGCAGAAACTTAGCGGGACTTACAAAGTAACCTGTCTTGATCGGTTTGCAAATAAGATTTGAGGCTTTCAGACAACCACAGATAAGTGAACTTTGCATGATGTGTTTTTATTCTTCAAGAGTATTTGATGTAAGATGTCAAATTGGATTTGTTATAGCACAAGAAGCAAAACATATCTCAATTATTTTCATATTTGAAATATGCTCTAATCTAACATTAGAGTTTCCATATATTTCCTGTACAGGTTTAGTTGTTTCCATTTTATGGATATAGTTGAATATTATTTAGGTTATTTATGTTAAAGTTGAGTTTATAATGTAATTTAAATCTTCTTGTGATTGTTGTGGCAGAAGTTTTGCACACAGCATGTATATTTTAATTTTTAAGAAAAATAGAGTAAATATGTTATAAATATCAAACTAATTTTCAATATTTACGATCAAATAGGTACGTGTAGTCAATTTGCCTACCTTGCACCACCAGAGTGTAGTGTATACTGTCAGAGCCCAAGTTGTTCTCCACTCTACATGTATAGTTGTCACTGTCAGATCTCTGCAGCCCTGACACCACCAACTCCCCAGACTCCATCAGCTGTGTGTTATGGCTGTGACCCGCAGCCTGGAGGGGACGGTCGTCTCGTAGCCACTCACGTCGTGGCAGAGGAGTTCCCACCAGGTGACAGGGGAGGGAGACGGAACTCCTCCAGGGGCGCAGCACCAGCCCGCCAAACGAGGTTATTTTGGCGGGAACTGTGGAGAGAAGACAAAGAATAGTTAGAAATCAACACAAAGAACACAAGACTAGGTTCTAAAATATCAAGAATTTTCACACATGAAAATATTCACGGAAATTTTGTTTAATAGAAACAAGTTATGCGATAGATTAATCCCTTCATAGCATATTAAAACTACAAAACATAATATTCAATCGCATCAATGCAGTGTAATCCTATATAAAGGAGTTTTATTCAAGCTAGAAAATTTGGTGACAAAATTAATAAAAGAACAGAATTCAATGGATCTGGCAATACAATTTATGGACACTGAACCATTTCTGGACCTTACCCAATACGGTCAGCATATTTTTTTAATAAGGTATAAACTCTATGCAGTTTTAAACCTATTTTATCTTTTATGGCTGCTAAATATTTTTTGCTGTTCATTTATTTATATTTAGTCATTAAATGTTATAAATTATTATTAATTGGCTTGCTAAAATAATATAGGGGAAATAGTAAACATTTTACGCATTTATAATTCAAATGCTATCAACGACCTACTAATATGTGGGTTCTATTAAGATAAATATATATGTAGGTAGAGTAAAATTTTCAATTCATTCTTGATATGAGATGACTATACAAAATAACAAAAGGGGGTGGGGGAAGTGTTTTTGTGCGCATGCGAATCCCGCTCACCACTCTTGAAACAATATATAATAATCTTACATGGAGCCTATCTTACCTCTACTCGTGGGCATGTGAGCAACAACTCGAGAACTTTGACCTTCGCCCACCCTAGTAGAAGCGGTTACCCAGAACTGGTATTCTACGTGTTGTTGAAGTTGTTTAGCCTCATAGCTCGTGTGTTGACTGGGTAGGGACCTCTTTCCATGGTTAAGTTCTTCTCTTCCATCAACCACTCTGCAAAGAAGACTGTATCAAGATTGGGTATACTAAACGTATATTACGTATTCTTTTGTAACTTAATTTATTTTGTAAATTTTCTTCTTTGGTATAATTTGAAGCTCGTTTCAGTGAGTGTTACATGGATTTAAAGGGAGTAAAGTAGGAATAAAACAGTGGTCTTAGTCAGTACTAGTTCTGCACATACCGTACAGAAAATATTACTTAAAATTGTCTTCAGTTGATCTCTAAGTCCTTCAGGAAGGACGACAAATCTTTAAGGGAGTACGGTTTATCCAACCTATCGCTGTCAGAATTCGGCTGTTGGTATCTGAGTATATTAAATTGTCTATACAAGGATTCTGTATCACTAAAAGCTTGTATTCTGTATTCAGGCCAAAAAATTAAATGTAATACTTTTTATGAAGTGGAGAAGTAATTTGGTCAATATATTTCCATAAATATGATTACTGAAGGTTGTTACTAGGGTTAACTTCATTCCAAACCAAAACAACCCTAACTGTAAATGAGTACTTTCGAAATTTAAAGCAGCCAAATTCATCTTTTTTATGGTTCTTGATTGCAAAATGTGTAAAGCTATTGTCTTAAAATCCGTATGCGTATTCGTGATATAAAACATAAATTTCAACCCTTTTTCAAAATTAATTAGCATGTCTATCTTATGTCTCTATGCATATATTTGGCCTTCAACCTGTTAAACATATTTTCCATTTTAAGACTAAAACTTGATAGATAAAACCTAAAAATATACGTGCTAGTTTATATTAATAGGACAATGAAACCATCGCCATTTATTAAGTTTTAGCTATTAAAATGGAATATAGTATTGTAACTTACAATAATGTAGTATTGTAGAAAACATACTTTTTTGTACTTGAGAACTTTATTTGTCAAAATAAGACAGACCGAGTTATACCTATTGTATTCCATTAACAAAGATAATTTTGTGCCTGTTGTAATTATATGTATATAAGTATCTTTGGTATCGAATAAACCTTTAACGAATTTGTTAAAGGTGTTCTTACCCTTTGCTGAAAATAATATTATTCATGCAACTATAATGTCCTATAAACCCTCTGATGCACATTCCATGAGATGATAGTTGAATAGCTTTGTGTATGGATTATTCAAATGTAACCAGTGAGCAAATGTTAAGCGTGTCAGCTGTCAAAGTGTTGAGCAAAACATCACAAGCCGCAATGTAACTTTAAGGCTGCATACCACGTTTGAGCCTTACACATACAGAGGGGGCTGGGAACAAATAATCAGCTGTTAATCGTTAAAACAGATTACTTTTTATTCAGGCAGAGTTTGTGAAGGCACAATATTGTATTTGAAGCCTACACTCTGTAGAGATTCGTATCAAATTTTATAAGAAGGCACTAGAACAAATTAACTGTATGTTCCATTTTCTTTCTACAAAACACCGTCACATGTATCTATTTGTATTGTATGTATTTTTACAGTTATGAAAAATAAATAATCTAAAATCTTAATTGTGAGGAAATAAATTTATCTTTGGTTAGTAAATGAATCAATCGTGAAAAAACTAAGAAAATATAATAGAATCATAGGAAAGCCAGTATGTACTTAGCAACATTTTGAATTATGGTTTAAGTGTATAATATCTGTCGTTTAAGACAAATCAAAAATCTTATAAGACAACACTTAAAACAAACCATGAGTTACGCGAGAACACATTCTTGATCGAAGTCAAAATAGACACTTTGAAAACTATTTAATGTATTTAAAATAACAATACCAAAATGTCTAAACCTTCTTCACTAAAACAAGAAATAAATAAATTTGAAAAATTAGAAACAATGCTAAAGTGGACATGGGACTTATCTAACTCAACCAACGTTTTAACACGGTTTTCATGATAAATAAAATGAACGTATTCTTCAAAACGACACGTTCCAACGACGATTGTGAAAATATTCGTTCGACGAAAACATTTTCGCCGAGTCAGGATTTTATTTTGATGCAGAATATTTCTGCTGATCTCTATTCAAAATAACAATGGAGTTTTAAAGAGCGGCTTTAACAATAGCCTCTTGAAGCACTCTCACTATCATGGAAAGTAACAGTTTCGTCGAGAAGTTCTTTTTATAAAATATCATTTGATATGCTAATGCACCTTAGAGAGGTAACATTTTTTAAATTCTTCCGTAAAAGGGAATATGTGTTAAATTTACATCCCAACAAAATTAAGGTTATGTTTTTTAATGCTCTATTCAAGAGCTTGTTTATTTGAAATAATATTAAATTACCTTTTTGAAATTTATGTAAATTTAATTTATTTCAAAGCTTTGAGTTTAACCAAACAAAAACGTTTTTGGCAACTTTTGCACGCAAATTAAGCTTTTCTTTGTTATACCTAATTGTGCTTGACACACATGTTTATGAAAAGTTTGCTTTTTCTACATCATTCTCTACAGGATAGTTTGGAAAACCAAAGAGTACCTGCACCTGAATAAATCATTGGTTTATACATTTAATCGAAAATTAATTCCCTAACGTTTGAGATGGTACTTAAAATAATAAATGAGACTCAAAGGTGATTTAAACTTTTTATTTACCCAAGACATATCTAATATTTCATTTTCATTTTGTGATACTTCATGGGTTTCCTTTTTTAAATCCTGATTTACATGCTTACTAGGTATTAAAGTAAATAGTTATTTAGTAAATTTTTTACTCAATTGTTTACATACATTTTGATTAGGTACTAAAATTCTTATTAATGACCAATTATAAATAACCCGCAGATAATAATGTTCGTGCTTACTAGAGCGAGGAGACGCGACATGGCAGAGCTATTAACGCAATTTAAAAATGTTAAATGAACTGAAATCTGGCTGCACCCACTACGCTTTACCACGTTTTATATCTGTTTATGCAACGTTTTTGCTTTAAAAATACTCCAAATAATGTTTGTAAGTGTGTAAAAAGAGGGAGAGGTGGTAAAAATCCCATATTTCCTTGTAAAACAAAAGGGTTTACTGCAAGAACCTCCAGCCTGATCAATTAGGGTAACTGCACCAGTAAAAGTATATCTATTGATTTTTTTACTTTAAGTTGTAAATCCCTGCATTCATACAATCTGAAATGTTGCGGTATGGCAACTAGTTTTGAGGTAAATGTCATCATCCTCAGGCCAGTAAGATGTCTTAATCAGGCAAGTAGGAAGAATACATATTATTCTTAGCCTGTGGGTGGCCTGTATGTGAGTCGAAACTAGTAGCAATGCCACAACGTTCCAGATCGCAAAAATGCAAGTAAACGTACCAATTTATAGTATTTAAATCCTACAAGGACGCAAACACTCAATTTAATGGAATATTTTATCGATTTTCAGTGACAGTGCTCGTTTTGGGTACCTATGTTAACAAAGCTACAGTGTCAGTGATGGTTTTCCAATCTTCCAGATTTTTTTTTTCTGATATAGGTCGCATTTGGATCCAAAACTCTCCAACGGCACATCAATAATATAATTGATATTTATTTACATTATAATATAATGTACTAATCATAATATGATGTCTTTGCTTACCTAGTATAAAGGTTGTACTTGGTGATAAGGCCGTTAGGATCATTAGGAGGTAACCATGATACAACCAGGGATGTTAAGGAACTGACAGCTACTTTGATATCAGCTGGGGATCCTGGGGCTGAAAAGATAAATATGAATTAGAACAGGATGAATTTTAAACAAGTATTATAAGTAGGTTCAAATACCTGGTATTTTTGGTCAAATATGCTACTAACGATATAATTTGAACTAATGTTGAAGATCTCGTGGTGGTTTTCGTAAGATTTTGGATTAAAAAGTGCCATCCTGGTATAAAAAAAATTAAATCACAAAATTTAAAATCCCGAAAGTTGTATGCTATTTAATTATATTAAGATATGCAAAATAAATCCAACTTTAATTACTAGTTCCAACAGTTACAGAGAAAAGTGAAGATTTGAACAAGTTGTGAAGATCAGGGTGGACAGAACAATAGCTGGTAGGATTCAAACTTGTGCTATTGAAGATAACTTTAATATGAAAATTTCTGTAAACATATATATAAATTCATCCGTGCATTTTAAATTATTAATTTATACGCAATTTTGGAAGGAAAATATTTTTTAATAGTCTGATGTATTTATTTATATCTTTTAGTTGATGAGTTCGAAAAAAACTTGACCTTTTGTCTATAAACAAGACCTAAACGAACGCCAACTCAACTTTCTTAGGTCATTGGGCAGCGTGACGAAATTAGTAATTTGCATTCAATCAATAGTTTTTGTTATTAACTAAACAACAACAAAAAAACACCAAACACTAACCGTCTTCCTCGGTCTGGCAGTAGATGGGTCTGGAAGGCACTCCGTCCCCAACTCTGGTGAATGCTAGTACTTGCACACTGTAGTTAGTGAACTTCTGCAGACCCGTCAGTACAATTGTTAGTGCAGTGGTCTTTCTGGAGTCAACCCCCATGTCGAGTACTGCGAACATATAATGAGGAGGTATGTAATTACGATAGAAAACGACGCCTAAACGTTAAAGATTGAGAAGTGGCGTGGTTTTAGTGGAGAGTTTTCTAAAAAAACCGTTTAAAAACCTTCATTTACGATAAGTGATTATGAATTAATAAGAATAAGAATAAGAATCGTTTATTGCCATAATAATACAGAAATGTACAGGGCAAAAGTCACTAAAACTAAACAAATAAAATCAGACCCATAAAAATAAAGATACAAACTTCAAGAGGTACATACTATTTACATTTTAAAAACGAAGAAACACTGTAAAATTCCTTATCAACTAAATATTTCCTCAAACCATGCTTAAATTTTTTTAAATCATGTTCGCCCTTGATTGAATTGGGGAGAGAATTGAAAAGATGGATACACATGGAGAATGACTATTTTTTATGAAAAGCGGTGCGGGATTTTGGAATAGGTAGGTCAAATTTATTTCTAAGATTGAAGCTGTGGTGAGATGACTCGTGATAATGAAACATTGTTGAATTCTTTTTTAAGAATGACAAGGATTCAAAAATGAAAATTGATGGGAAGGTCAGCATATTATTTCTACGAAAAACGGATCTACAAGACTCTCTGTATTTTAAGTTGAAGATTAATCTGATTGCTCTTTTTTGCAGTTTGAATATTTTCTTAGTTTGGAGCTTGTCGTTACCCCAAACGGGCACACAATATGTAAGAAAAGGGTAAACAAGACCGTAATAAGATGTAATAAGGACGCGTCTGTCTTGATAACAGGAGAGCCTACGAAGAAGGATAAGTCAAGTAATGTTGAAGTTTGAAGGTTTTCGGGGATTTACCTTGATCATGTGTGTCATAGAAGAGCCTGTACCCCAAGACCATGCCGTTGGTGTGCTGGTGTGGAGGTTGATGCCAGCTGATTTGAATACTCTGGGAACTGAGAGCAGCGCATCTTACATCCTCTGGTGGAGCGCTGGGCACTACAGGAGACAAGAAACATAAACGGTATCATCAATCCAACATTTCTACCATGTAAATGTATGTAAATACTCAATAATAAATAGTACTAGTAAATGAGCGAAGGGTAAGTTGGGGGGGGGGGTTAAGGGCAGTAGGTATTACAAAGGAGTGCTGGGCACTACAGGAGACAAGGAAAATACTTTATACCATTAGCTGGTCAACAACCTTTTTAAAGGGTAGGTGGTGGGAGTAGCTATGATATTTTATGGAGGAAATCACTAAAGTTGCTATAACCGTTGAACCTGAATGTTTACAGCAATGGGGGTTGTACAGTTTGTTAAGCGTGCAAAGGACTAAAACGTACTAAATTTTATTCACAATCGTAAAATTCTTTTTCGTGAAACTTTGGTATGTATGGGGAGATTACTATTAAAAATCTAAATTTCAAAAAAGTATTAAACCACCTGGAGATACTATGGATTACTATCCACATACAACATTTCTTCAATATAGGACTACAGTTTTGGTCTATAGCTCTGTACACCGTTTCACAACATCCACACACACACAGACATCACTTCGAAAACCACTTCTTTTTCTTCTTGGGGACCCATATCGGACACTTCCACTTAATACTCAAACTCGAACAATTAAAATAAAACTACACTTTCTCCACATACTATGCATCCGGGGAGGAAGTAAAAATGAGACTGAAATAATATTTTAACACAACTACCACTTTTTTCCTTTTTTACACAACTTTTCTCCTTCAAACAGACATTTCATATAAGACCATTTCACAAAAAAACCGCTGCCTTGTCGTACAAAAGGTAAAATAAAAATAAAACACAAGCAGAAACAAGTTGTAGAATAGTCTGGATGATTCCGTCGCCTCAACACCGACTAAGCTATAATGATGTTAAACTCACAAGTGTCTGAAGGCTTTTGTTTCCTACTGTAACTCACTGTGGCAACACTTGACAATTTACGTTCACAAAAGCGTTTGCAGCTGTTCATTCGGATGGCACATTTTAATGAGGAATATAATAATCACAACTAAAGAGTCAGAGTGTGAAACTTCTGCTTTTTGGTTTGGAAATTTAAAACCTTGTAACTGAACAGGTGGACGAGAAAATACTGAGAGTTCTTTCAATATATTTACACTTGGATGTTTTATATTTTAATTTTTTTTATACATAAAATTACTTTAAGTGTGAATTTACCACGCAAATATTACCTGTAAATAAACAGTTATTTTAAAATGCAAAAGATTAATAATAAGTTTCCATAAAAGAAATTAAATAAAAGAATGCTCTTGAGGTATAAATTACTACATCTGTTCAGGTCAAACCCCTGAAATTATACTGTAATGATACGTATCAGTTCGAAAAAGTACAACGACACTGAGGTAGGTGTTGATTGCATTTTTGGTGTCTTTCGAATTATTATCACCAGTCCAATCATTTTATTTAGGACTTCATATATATATATATATTAATATTCTATATTTTTTATTCCATATGGAATATTTTAAGTATTTTTAATAACCTTTAGTCGTGCTGAGCACTCAACGATTCAAAAATTAATTTTTACGCTTGAACAAATACCAATGTGGAGCCGAGTGGAACAAAAACTCATTAACTGAGAAAGTTAATTTGAACATTTCCCAAGTGGCTTCTTTCTGTTCATCTGAGAGTCTTATATACTTGCACAAATCTGTGGATAAAGCCATGCAAACCATATGAAAAATTATTCAAAATTATGTTATACTCATAAACAAATTACCAATAAATAAAATTTTGATTATTTTATGTTTTGGTGCTCCAGGTATGGATATGCGGATATATAGAGAATATTTATAAAATGAGTTTATAAATATGGACAAAGTATGGAGCACCCCTCTCAACCTATTCGATATAAAATTTATTTTCATTGTACATGGAACATTTAACACCTCAGATGTAGAATCCAGGAACTTAAACCATTTGAATATTTTTCCATTGGCAATTTTACCATGTATACAGATTATAGGTTAAAATAATTCCATTTACATGAATTAAAAATGTATTTTAAGATACACAGTGTAGTGTCAAACAACTAAAACTCATTGAACACTTAAATATGTAATTTTTGCTCTCCCAGCTTATAATTATATTATTATAAGTTATAATTTGATATAAAGGAAAGATAGTGAAAGGGAGAGAACGGGAGGGAAGAAAGGGATGGGGGGAGAGAAAGCACCCTGCTGCAGTAAGATTCAAATAATATAAGCTAATGAAGTTACTTAGATACTCTCAGAGTGGTTTCCGTCTGCAACTTGCTTCAACCAATTAGAATATCTATTTAATACACTGAAGTTGATACTTTCAGCTTAATTATTATAAATGTAGTTTTGAAATATATACATTTTTGGTTTTATCACTCTAATTTTGTTGTGGTTTATTAAATGTATTTATTTCTAAGAATTTTCTCATTTTGTATTTCTTCTTTTTAATTTTTTGAGAACATATATTTTATCTATAAATACAACTTGGCAATTTGATGGAAACTATTGTATACGTAATTTTCGTGTATGTCTGATCTTTGCACTTTTTGGAATGCCTAAAATTTCAATTCCTAGAGAAACTTAGAACTTAGTTTTTGTTAATACTAGTTTTTATGTCCAGAGGCAGTTTTCAAAGTTACTCTAAACATATTAGGACACAGTAATTTAAGATATTGACCTTAAAGATTTGAAACATGGTTAAGTTGACAGTCACCCTAAACAAAAATTTCATATTAACTAATAAATCCTCCATTTCAACGAGTCTTAGAAACTTAACATTCCACAGAGGAACCAAAAGTGTAAACATCCCTTATACAAATGGTATAACACCAAAAACAGATACTAAGCTGCCGAGCTCGAGATTAGTGGTAGCCACTCCATAGTTTTTACCGTTGCAATACACTATTCTCGTCGTGGCAAATTCAAAATAAGATTAGGCCCCACCCCATTGCCACCCTAATCATAATTGGGTTCATATCTGACTCACCATCCTCCATCGTCTGGGCGGAGACGGGTTCCGACAGAGGTCCCTGACCGACCTGGTTGAAGGCTTGGACCACGACGGCGTACCTGGTGTACTTGAGCAGCCCCGAGAGTATCAGTTCACCACCACCCTCATCACTGACTCCACTAACTGCTGTCATATTGTAGTTCCCGTTGGGGGAGCTGTAGACAAAAGATGGTGTGTTGTGAAGAAATGAACTAGGGCTTTATCACTTGTAATTAGTTTTTTGGGAAGAGGGATGAGATATTGTATGTACACTAAGGATGGAGTTTATTTAGTATTCCATTAATCACCTTTTCTTTAATCCTTCCCCTAAGGATCTTGACATATGTGGATCTTCCCAAGTATACTTACAGGTGTTTAAACTAAACAGTTCAATATGTAGTGAAAATATATCCAGGGTTGCAGTTAGTTTACTAAGATTCACGTAAACAATTAAAAAACTATCGTCATATCCATTCTTCCTCCTCATTATGCCCATTCTCCCCCCCCCATAATTTCACTCTCCCTACTCATTATGCCCATTCTCCCCCCCCCCATAATTTCACTCTGCCTACTCATTATGCCCATTCTCCCCCCATTATGCCAATTCTTCCTCTTCATTATGCCCGTTCTCCCCCATTTTGCTCATTCTTCCTCTTCATTATGCCCATTCTCCCCCATTATGCCCATTCTTCCTCTTCATTATGCCCATTCTCCCCCATTATGCCCATTCTCCCAGCATTATGCCCATTCTTCCTCTTAATTATGCCCATTCTCCCCCCATTATGCTCATTCTTCCTCCTCACTATGTCCATTCTCCCCCCATTATGCCCAATCTTCCCCCATTATTCCCATTCCTTCTCATTATGCCCATTCTCCCCCCATTATGCCCATTCTTCCTCCTCACAATGTCCATTCACCCCCATTATGCCTATTCGTTATGGCTACACGGATTTAAGGGATGTGAAGCTCAACGGAGATTAGTAGTTTCACGAATAAAAATGTTTGGTAAATTTGAATTTTACTTAAGCTCACACAATTCAACGGATGTAAATAATTTTAAATTGTAGTTTTATAAACTAATGAGAACGTAGGAGTTTTTATAAAATGTTATTGGACATACCATAAGTCCATAAAGTGTGTTTAACTGAAAACACTAATAAATACTGATAAACTAAAATAGGTAATTTATATATATTTTTTATTGAACTCAAATGAAAATGAGTTGTACAATCAAAATTCATGGAAATGTGTAATGTGATAAAATAAACAAACACATACAGTAATAAAGAACTCAAAATTCACAAGGTTGCTTTCAGCGAGGGGTGATGCAATGATAACTGTTTTGGTAAATGCTGTGTCGTTAGAGCTGTTTTCAAAAACACGAACATTTGTGTTGGGTTCACCTTAATGTCTATGATAACGGTAGTGGCTTATCAGCATTTGCTGTTTGCGATTATGATAATGCTTACTGCTAAATGCTTAACATTACATTTGATTTACTAGGTGTTGATTATACTTTGTTAACCCTTTCAGCATTTTCTTATATTGACCATATTGCACACCCCTACTGGAAAAGAAGATTGGGAAGTATAACAACGTACGTATTATTAAGATACCTGAAATTAAAAAAAAATTACGTCAAATAACACATGTGATATATATGGTAAGTGGTGATCGATTTTGATTGGACAATCCAATCATCATCAGACCCAATAGGCGAATAACAAGAATCTCAATGGCATCTCTTATACATTATATTTATTTATTTATTTATTTTACCTTCCAACGGTCAAGAACCAATTTACAATGTGTTGTATAGATGACTTAATCTAACTTAAACATATACATAGAAAATAATTTTTGACAATGACATGCAGTAAGTAAATACAATTTGATTTGAGCAGTATCGAAATAGACGTATACAAAGCAGAACTTTAAATAACAACCCATGAACAAGAACAACAAATAAGAATAGTAAGTGAAAAAATAAATGAACGACAAACAATAAATATATGAGTTCCAACAATAACAATAAATATATGAGTTTTAAAATAACAATAATATATGAACTTCAACAATAACAGTAAATATAATTTCAACAATACAAAGAAAACAAGATTTGTAAGAAGATAGAAACATTCATTGGTATGAAACAAATAAAATAGAATAATTTTGGGTGGTAACTATGATGAGCGGTGGAAGTCAGCCAGTACCCTCTTCCGGATTGTTTTTTTGGCTGTCTGTGAAGATGTCGAAAGTGGCACAGAAGACATACTATTGGCTACCTGAAGTACCGGCCAACAAGGTTCGCCTATTGGGTCTGATGATGATTGCAGCATCCAATCAAAATCGATCACCACTTACCATATTTTATATGTAGTTACCGTCTAGAGAGTAAAATGTGCAAATATAGTCCTACGAGTGTTATTTGACGTATATTCGTACTTTCAGGTTAATTTAAAAGGACCAAAAAGTTAAAAACTATTATTTAATGAAACTGCAATACTATTTTTTTACAATTTTGTGAGTTCAAAACTTGTGTATATTCCTTGATTTTTTTAATTGATTATAACGTATTTAGAAACGTAAAAGCAAAGATACGACGAACAATACACTAGACACAGAGTACCAACGTACCATAGTTTACAGCTTAATGTTCCAACGAGCCACAAGAGAGCTATACAATTTGTTTTAATTACAAAGTACACTATACTTGGGTTGGTTTAATCTTTTCTTGCAATGATAAATCGAAGCTATTGAGTATTGTAGTCTAGGTGAACTTTATTGAAAGCAAATACTGTAATCACTGACCATAGTCAGTAAGTACATTCTTGATTATAGTCAGTTTTGGTTTCGCAAATATAAATATATTTTTGTTTAACTAACAGAACTTATTACCAAATTGGCCCAACTAGTTCTAACAGTTATAACAGAACCTATGCGTATCTTTTCAAGCATTACTTTTTTATCCTTAGTGTTATTCACACTACTCTTCGTAAGAGTAGTTTATTCGGACTTCATATTGCTTATGTTATAAATTCCAAGACATGCTCCTGCGCATTCTAAGGAAATATAAAAGTAGACACGTTTTGTTGTTATTTAATATCTGTCTGGGGATGTAGTTGTCTAGCCAGGAAATAGAAGGATTCGGTATTCTATTGGTTAATTTTGAGTTATAGTGAGTGATGAGTTCGATCCCTAGAAAAATCAGAAAAGATTTAGGGGTTTTGGCAAGGAGTTCTCCTCTTGAGAAGTTTATTAATCTTACTAAAATATGAGTAACAAACCCACCTGATTTCTCTGAAGCCCACATAATATCCCTGGACGTCTCCATGCCTCAGTTCAGGTAGGGGCGGAGCCCACGTGACTAGCAGCTGAGTAGAGGAGACCGGCCGTACGCTGACACTAAGGGGTGGTCCGGCCGGCCGCTGGGGCTCGGTGCGGAAGTGTAGCGGCTGGCTGGGCCGGCTCCGCCCCGCTGGACCTTCAGCCTGTACGTTGACGGTGTACCTTGTGGCAGGCTTGAGGTTCTCCAGCAAGGCTCCGCGCAGTTGACCACTCAACTCGAGTTGTTGGTAGGAAGCGTCTGCCTCCTGAAAAAAAGAATCAGTGATAGGTTAGAATGTATGCCAAATGAGAGTAAAAGTAAAAGCTATGGAAAGAAAAGTAAACTTGTAAGCATAAAGGAGACATGTTATGGTTCAGTTGCTAACATTTAGACTGGTACTTTTCTATGTCAAACTTGCACCAAGGCCAAGAAAAGTAGTAACGCTCATCGCTAACGACGAATTAGAGGAGAGGTGGGAGATTTTTACAATTATGGGAATATGTTACACTATCTAGTGGTGATTGAGGAGTAATAAGAGTAGTTAATGTATCTCCTTTCTATGTAAACACAACTCCAACAGAATATTTTCTCCATAGATATTACCTTGATGGACAGAATAAAGAAACAGCTAGTCTTAGACAGTAAAAAATTGATACATGATATCTTACTTAATTGTACGCTTAGCTACTACCCATTCTCAGCCTAAAATACGTTACATGGTGTCCCTGTCTTAAGACTAGCAAATTATATTCCTCAGAATATCACGCAAACATCAATATTGCTAATTTAAACAACACAACTCCTTAATATAAAACAATAAACACCACTTGATACTACAATCCAAATGTTTTAGCAATCATAATAGAGTTGAAATCGTTGATATTCAATGCTGTGCATAGACTTACCTTGTACTGTACGATGAACTTTGTCACCTCTCCGGACTGGTGATGCCATTGAATATTGGCAGTTCTGCTGCTAACCATCACTGTTTTCAAGTCAGAAGGGCTTTCTGGAGGCTCTGAAGACAAACACAGTTTACATCATTACCGTTTTGATTACATCTGATAAACACCCAGCAAACAATCAGCCAATTGGATATTTGTGTTAACAAAAAAAAAATACACAATCCAGTAATTTTTATGTAGTACCTTGCACTAGTAGTTGAACAAGTTGTTGATCTTTGCCATAGAGATTGGTCGCTTGACAGAAGTAAGCGCCGCTATCACTGGCCTCCGTTGAAGATATCTGTAGTTCTGCTGCCACACCATCAGGAGTGTTGTCTTGCTTTATTTGTAGCCTAAAAAAATAATTAGTTTGTAAATTTTACTATCAGCAGTATCATTCCGACAAATTTGCTTATCCACACCGGTGATTCATACTTCATCATACTTTAACTCTTTAAATAATACTTTAACGCATTTGTTACGCAAACAAGTCACAAACTGCAGCTAAGAAAATCTTTTAACATTAATTTGACATCTTTTGACGTACTATATTAAAAATAAACGAATAACTGTAATACACTAAACCTTTTGTAAGTAGATGGAGCTACAAACATATACTCAACCTCTTTAGTCAGCCCACAAAACATGAACAGGTTACAAACCCGTATCTGGGTGGTTCTACAAACATAAGCTACAAACCTGTATTTGGAGGGTTCTACAAATATAAGCTACAAACATGTAGTTAGACAACACTAATCATCAAATCAACATCCTACAGTTCAACAACAACACATCGTAAAAAATAACACATCGTCTCGTAGATAAATCATATCTTAAACAATAAACTTAAACACTTCAATGTTCAACAAACATTACCATACATTACCTATAATTTGACGCCGGTGAGAGTTGAACCCCTTTACCCCCCTTGAGCCATCGTACATTGATGGGGGTGTCACCATTGACGTTACACATCAAAGTAGCCGTGTCTCCCTTCTTGACTGTCACCACCCGTGATGGGGCGGAGAAGTAGGGGGATGCTAGAAAATGCGAGGGTTATACACTTGTATAGTCAAATTAAAACAAGCTAAACAATATCAACTATGAGTAGTCGTACCGATATGTCATCTCTAAGATGTGTAACTGCTTAGCTACTATGCTACTCCAAAGCTACTTTGTTACAAGTGCATTATTATATGTGCATTTACTCTTGGATTGATCTCGATTATGGTTGGTGTCAGTGGTAAAAATATAAAGCCAATGTGACATCTTATAAATATCCACATTCCTAAAAATAATTACAGTATAAGTGTAAATTCTATTGTTGTATTTGCTCTTTGTTATATTTATTATTGTTATATCTTTAGTCTTTGTTAACTTATTCATTGTCAGATTATTTATTATTGTATTCTATTGAGTATTGTATTGTTCAGCTTGTTTTTTTTTTCATCTATGTATTTAGTATTCTATTGAGTATTGAATTACTGTTCAGCTTGTTTACATCTATGTATTGGCTTAGCCGTTGGAATGTATAAATAAAATAAAAATAAATAAAATAAAATAAAATAGAGTTGTGTTAGGTGATCATTAGGTTTATCAGTTTATTTTTCATAAATAATAAATGACACGCACTTTGAGATGCCATTTATTTAATCTAACATAATTACGAACGAGAACTTACAGTTAACTTTGAGGTTGACCACTTTGCCTATGCCATTGCCTATCCCGTTGGTAGCTTGACAAAGATAAAATCCTTCCTTGTCCTCTTTGACGTTCTGAAGTAGAAGAGATCCGTTTGAAAGGATTCTCTGGTAGACTCTCTCTCTAATTTCTTCGTACTCTCCTGACTTGCTTCCTGAAATACGAAATTAGATTTTAGAAGCTGTGAGATAATTCAATCATAATATAATTATAATATAGTAACTTACTACTAAGTTTTTAATAAATCGCAACCGTAATTATTACATCTGCAATGTTTAAAATAGAGACCTCTTAAAAATTGGCTTACCAAAAATATTTTTCAAATAATTTTATTCGTCAGTATATCAAATCAGTTAATAAATTAGTAAATAGTATATAAGTTTTTGTAATTTACTTTAGTCCCTTTATACGACATAAGTCCAACTGGAACAGAAAAGAGCGTGGTTTCAACATACTCATTTCGTAATTTTGATCAACCATATTTTTAGCCATACTCCACCAACCTTTACGCTAACTTATTCCAAAAACTATTTTGTAGCATTCCTTTTTAATTTAGCTTATAAAATGCTTTTCATATCGTTTATTCGTTTTATTCTTATACTATCTTGTAAATTACAAAAATGAACCTAAGCCATAACTTCAGTAGAAGTCTAAGCTTGAAGAGAGGTGAGGATGACTGCATCCTCACAACCACAAGGACAGACTGACTAATAAAATAGGTTTAAGTGTTACATAGCTTATAAGGGGTATTTATCATACCGAAGTTTACAACATTGCACTACAATAAACACAAAAAAACTTGTGATAACAGTAAAGTATTACAGGATTTAATTGAAACTATTTTTCACCAGAACATAATTGGCAAACTAATTTCCAAGAGAGAAACATGTACAGTTGAAGACTCTAGATGATTATTTTTACTCTTGGGATAAAACAGCCTCGCAACGAGTCTATTGAAGAATAGAAATCGTTGCTGGAGTATAACAAAATAGTTAACCAGTTTCAGGATTGTATACTTTGTAAGGGTTGGTGCCCTGACAAAAAGGACTTACAGTTTGTGTTGCGTGTTGCTTTGTTCGCTAAACGTTCTGCTATTGTGAAGCCCTTGGACAGAGGAAATGCTTTGTGTTTCCCGAACTTGTTGAGTCAACTTTGTCACCCATTTATTGGTGACGTATTATATTGTTATTTATAGAACACATGCCTTCTAAAAAATTGTTAGTTTATTTATAACCCAGAATGGGAAAAATTACAGTAATATATAACAATGCTTCTAAAATAACGTCTCTTGTTCCTAACTAAACATAATGTACATTCGCCGAAATGTATATTTTTTATGTTTTGGTTCGATAACGATTGACATGCGTTTGGTTATCAGGTGTTTTATCCCAAAAAGTATTTTACTATTTACGAGCCCTATATGGTGAGGCTGAAAAGCTATTTTACCAAATGTGTTCGGCGATATTTGAATAGCTGTTCCACTCGTACAGCACAAGTATTGGACAATGTTTTACTGCAATTGAAGTGTACATAGAGTAAACATACTTACCACAAACCTATTAGTGCCACCACAAACAAAAACGTATTATCAACCTGTGAAACTAAACGAGAGTGCTTCGTATACCATAGTATAGTTATTTCCAAAAAAAGAAAAAAACATTATGGACAAAGTAAAAAATTCAATTAATTTCAAATCCTAAACTTCCTTGGTTATTGATTTAAACAATTAGTAAATATTATACCTTTGAAACGTTGACTACAAATTGAAAATCTTAAAGTAAATGATAACATCAATAATTACCAGTGGCCTTCTTCCAAACTACAACAGGCTGGGGCACGCCCTGGGCTTGGCAGTTGATGATCACGTGACGGTTGCGCTCAACGCTGACGTCATTAGGCTCGACCAACCAGCGAGGAGGAACTGCCACACAACAGCCAATCAGAATAGACCCTGATGCGTCATACTATAGAGCATGCGTAGTACTTACCTGACTACCTTACAGACTCACAAACTTCTCTAATTGTGTTTAAAATGACTAATTTGAAATGAGTTAACTTTTATGAATATTGTGTTAACTCTAATTATATATAATGTAATAATATAATTTGGATATTGTTGAAGAACTAAAGGTGAAATTGTAAATAAAAATGAACGTGACCTTGAGCAAACAGTAAACAAACATATTTAACAGTTTAACACAATTATTACTGAAACAATTCTTTGTGGGCATGGAAGTTTGTAAGTCATACCTTAGTATAGGTTAGGTTAAGTGTAATATAAATTTTATGAATTTGTAAGTGTTATGTATAAAACATTAAATATGATCAAATGAATTGAACAACCTTACATTCCCTCTTGTAAATATATGCGCAAATGTTTACACATTTGAACAAATATTTCTGGCATCATTTACCATCCTTTGACAACTATAAAATATTGTTAATGCAGCATATTTCAGAGGAATAGTTTAGCATAATTTAGAAGCGTACAACATGTTGGTTATTTTTTTCGATTTGTTTTGGTTTTCTTTATATCCCTACTACAAAACACTTACTTTGAAATACAAATGGAGAAAATTTTATTCTTTAATGTAAATAAAATATTACGAGTAAATTATTTTGTAGCAATTAACTAGTGAAGGCAACATTTAAGTGGGACCGGGGTGAATGCAATACGACGAACATTTAAGACGTAAGAGTCTCTACTTTTGCTGGAAGCTGTTCTAGACAAGTATATCGAGTTAGAGACATAGCTCTACAGTAGTGCTAGGTGCAGGTGCAGTAAGCTTTAGAAAGCGTCTAAACAACATAAATACTTAATTTATCTCGAAGCGTTTAGTATGTTTATTTAGCACCTATACGTTTCTAGTATTAGTTAATATTTAGAAGCCAAGACCACATTTTATTTATCGATGGATTTATCTAACTATGTTAGCTGTGACATTATCTACGCTATTCGACATTTATTAAGCCAATCTACTACGACGTGAACGGTGACATTGAGAAAAGAAACAGTTATCGATGCGGCGAAGCATTGATACCAGTGAGGGACACATCGAGTCTTATAGCTAGTGTGGGTGTCTAAAGTAGAGACTAGGCTACACTAGAGAGAAAAAAACATGCTAAATGTAAAAGAAGATAAAAGAAGGGAAAAGAGAACAACAAAAAGAAGGTGCAAAGATTACCTCGTGAAACAAACCTGGGGTCCATAGTCGCGGGTGCATTCCCTGTGCCAAAGCAACCGAAATAACATCCAGAGAGTAGGAGCATGCGTTTACCTTTGACCTGAAGACGACTCGTGTACCTCACTCGAGCGGCCGGGTTGGAGGCTACACACGTGTATTCACCAGAGTGGGCCTCTGTCAAACTAGGGATGCTGAGGAGGCTAGAATAGGGGTCAAGGGTAGAGACGTTTACTCCCAGGTGGGGAGGCAACTTAGCTCCGTCCTTGAGCCACCCGATGTGTAGGGGAGGATCACCTCTGCTCACGCCACACACCATGCGGGTCCTCGCCCCCTCGGGGAGCCCGTCCCCGGGGAACGAAAAGGGTTCAATTACGGGAGGAACTGGAAGAATTAAAGAGATAAAAGAGTCAAAGTAGCGAAAAAGGTAAAAAGACGACGCGGTTTACCATTGACGACCAACTGCTGTGTCTGGGTCACCTCGGCGGCGGGGTTCCTGGCCAGACAGGTGTAGTTGCCGTTGTGGTCGGGAGATAAGCTTTCTATCAAGAGAATACTATTGAACTGGTCCACTTGGTTGACCATGAGCCTGTGCTTGGGGTCGACCGCCTTGGAGTCCTTGTACCAGGTGATGGTGAGGGGGAGGTCCCCCTTGGTCACGGAGCAGGTGAGGGAGGCGCGCTCCCCCAGGTGGAGTGTTCGCTCGGACACTATGGGAGCTAGCTTGGGAGGAACTGTAACGTACATAGCTTGTTTGGCCATCATAGCACAAATTGTAATTTGGGACACTAAGCAAAGAAGTAATGCAATATAATTGTATTGACCTTATACATAAAGTGTTTTTCTTGCGGTAAAAGTATTTTTTTTACTACAGTTACAGTTTCGTAAGATTATTTTACTACTAAATAAGTAATTTCAGGAAAGTTTAGTGAAAACTTTATGTAATATTACTATCGGTTTTGTAATTTATCTAGAATTATTTTAAATAAACAAAACATTATAATATTACAAACTTATAATGTTATAGCAAAAAACACAAGTTAAACAACGCTAAAATAAACCTGAAGAGTTCTTAAAGAAATATTTTATGTAATTTACAAACTAGAAAATTGAAGTGTACCTTATAGAGTTTTTGATTTACCACTCATACTAATTTTAAATACAACTTATCTAAATGTTTAATTTTTGATAAAATTATAATTACAGTACTGTGACATCAATCCTACAATAAATAGACTGTATAACCAATTTATATTCGATACTTGAATCAAATAATTCATAAATAATTGATTCTCTTGTTTAAAAGTAGTCAAGCATTTTTGTCAAACCACTGCTCTAAATTGAAACTGCGATAACAAAGTTGAACAAGAAGTTTTCTGTTAACGTAGTTTCTACCGATAAAAGCTGAATTTAAAATACCTCTTTTTTATAATTACGTAAAGTTTGAAACGAGACTCTGGTTAGAATTGAAAACTGGATCAATCCTGACAGTGGTTTTAACTTTTGAATTCACTTAGTTCCCTCGATACAGGAAAACGGCATTAAACTTTACAGCTGTGACCACAATTTATATACTTTCTTAAGCTCCTAACAAATTAAATAAAAATTAATGTGTACAGGTTTATTCATAAAACAAAGAAAAAGTATATTATTCTAATTTCTTCTTTTTTAGGAATATTTTATATTATTTTTTAATTAAATTTTAATACATCAACAGTATTGTTTTAAACAATATAAATTGTATTGAAACCAAAAACCAAAGTGAAACAAATTCCTGTCCTCTATGCACTTGATAAATTTACCGAGCTATAAGTAATTATAAATTAAATAGCCTCACAAATCCTAAGTAAGAGGATTATTCTTGACCTGTGGACGAATTAACAGCACCACATACAGGACTGGGCTTTGCATTTGATAAATTACATTAGAGGTACCATCTATAAGGAATGTAATTTGGAAACGTAGTTAGAAAAATTAAAAAAACAATATATCAGTTCTAAAAAAAATTTCAGTTTGTTTAAACTCTTTTTAAAGACTTTTTCATTTAAAGATATTTAAATTTTTTGTTTTCAAAACAAATCTGTTAAATTATTTCTTTACAGGTGATACATTCGTGATGAACAATGATAATATTGAATTTTTATATTTTAGAAAATAGGAAAATACTAAATATTTTATATATTTGATTTAAAGATTAATGTTCTAAAAAATAAGTTTTGTTGTAAAAACAGATTACCAACTCTTCCTCTATAGATTTATTTCAATTTCATATTTATGATAGAACAAATCCCTTCAGTATAAAAAAATACTTCTCAATTATTATTTTTTAATTAAAAATATGCATACTGAAAATTACAAAACTCATTAATTTAGTAATTTCTACTGTACAATTTTGTATTAAAAACTCAAATAAAAAAACAAAAATATTGTAAAATATTTTCATAGTTAAATTTAATGTATGTGTTAGTAAATTAGGTTGTATAAAATAAGAGTATATCCTTATTTAAAGCTGTTTTCCCTCCAAAACACTCACCGATCACTGCTACCTCACCGCTCCTTCGCGCGCTTTGTCCCTGCTTGTTCCTGGCCCAACAAGTGTAGACCCCGGCGTCAGCTGATTTCTGCACTGGACTTATCAGCAAAGTCCCGCCAATCACCTTCTGCCTCAGGTCATCTGGAAGCTCCCTCCCGCCTCATGGAAATTGACACATTTGTTAAATTGATGCATATTTGGATTGTACATAAACTCTAATTCATCTTCAAACACGTAAAGCAAGGCAAAATGTAATATTTTTTAATTTAAAAACTAATAATATTCTACACAACATTGACTTCTTACTTCGTTCCCAATGAATCTCCTCTATTGGATAACCAGCCACTGGACATTTGAGTTGGAACGTCTCACCAGATACAGCTGTTACTTTGGGGATAAGACGAATGTATGGCAAACCTGAGAGAAAAAAGTCAAATATCAAATAGTTGAGGAAATACCTAAGAGCAAATGTATAAAAAATATGATTACAAACAAGAATATCATAGGAAAAAATGTTTATAAATGTTTCTCATTATATCCATTAATATCTTTCTCCATCGATACCCTCTTCTTTTCTGCCTCAATTCAATTGTATGCAAAAGACAATATTATATTATAGGTTGTAAAGCAAAAGTACAAACATGAGTGGCATTAAGGGGGTGAAACAGGATAATGATATGAATGAAATTTGTTTCTGAAATATGTAATGACAGTTTTAGGAAATATGAAGGAAATTGAAGGAGAAAGAAATCAATTTTATTGAGATTAAACCATTAGAAATATCAAGAAAGATAAACTCATTGTTAACCAACGTGATACACAGGGTGAATAAACGATTAAAATTCACAATGCAATGAAAGTATTCAATTAAATATTTTTTACTGTCAACTTTGTTAAACTTATAACCGTACCGTATACGTTGAGCCTCGCTGAATGAGTGACTTTGCCAGCTCTGTTCTCCGCAGTACAAGAGTACTCTCCACCGTCCTCCACCGCTACATTGGAGATGTTCACGTGACTGATGACGTCACCGTGGATCGTGAGGTATTGGCCAATCATAAACCTGATGGTGGACAAAGCTGTTATCATACTGTGCAGAATATATTTGAATCCAAGTGATGTACAGGTAATATACTGGACTACAAGAATTGTCAGGTTATTATGCTACCTCGTTTTGAAAAATTTATTTGAAAATTTCGAAGTCAAAGTCAAATAGTTTTTTACAGAAATTTAACAATACAATACACATATACATATTAATAAGTAAATATATATTTTCCACGTAGTAATAAGCTCGTGTGCGGAAAAGGAGTTCTAAATCTGCTAATGTACAATAACTATTACATTGTGGATATACAATAATTTTATTTATCTAAGTAAAACATGCATTAAAATTTACTGGGTGACTATTCTTTAAAAATAAATAAATATTAAACAAAAACATCATTGAAAAGTTAATATGTATCATATAAGGACAAAATAACACAATAAGTAATTAAGAGTATGAATTGCTAATGTAACCAAAGATTGAAATTAGCAACTGAAAGATGTAGCTACATTGCCAGGGTCTCAGAAATTTACTAACATTTATTTATATTTTTTTTCTAGTGAGCTTTTATCATATGGGGATTTTATCAGCGCCTCCATAGCCATCCGGCCAATGCTGGCAAGCCATACACTCACCTTTCTTTTGTACAAAAGAGTTTGATCAGTTTTACAATTCATATTAATTTATTTATATAGTTTACAGTAAACATGGAGGTGACTATTATTTATCAAGAAAATTGAATGATTACTTATCACATAATTTAAATGGGTAACGATATTCACACGACATAGTTAATTTGATTAATTAAATTGAAAATAAATTGTATAACCTACATTTATAATTTCTTTTTGAATATTAGATTGTTCAGGTTGTTAGATTTCCGTAAAGTAATCCTAGACATAATCTAAGGTGTGAAAGCACATTTATGGAATTAAGCCTTGTTATGCTGTTATAAAAGATGAAGTGTATACCTGACGTTGTTAGGAAGGCTGAAGCCATCCAGTGCCCAGGTGATTTGAGGAGTGGGGTTGCCCTGGGCACTACACTTGAGAGACACTGCAGGTCCGGGTTGGAGAGTTTGCTCTATGAAGGTGTATGATAACACTGGAGCCGCGTCTAGGGAGAGACAATATATACTCAATAAAGTCAGTCTAAAATACCAGTTCTTAGTACATTTAAACAAAATCGTTAAGTTTTTTTAACAGTTTTCCTCACAATTTATAACATTAACGCCGTTTTTACCACTTCAGTAGAATTTGTTTAACAAGGGTCCAGTGTAAAAATTAAGTAACCCATGCTGACCAAATGTTTGTGATTCAAACCAATACGTTTTGTACAGGCGGGAGAAAGGCTATAATCTTGCCTATTTTCTTCATCAAATATAGTAAATTGTTCCTTCCACACATACAGTTTCTTTTTAAAACCCATTAACATTAAAATGGTATAGAGAAAAATCTTAGGTTCTTAACATCTCGACTTGCATTGAAGTTAGAGAAAAAATAACTTTAAATAGTTCAAATTAAAATATACTCTTAAAATACGTCCATCTTAGACGGAAAGATTTTACAGATACGTGTTTTTAAAGGGACGGTAATAATTGATTAACTACAGTCAATTTTTAAGATACGTTAGACAACGAAATTATAATTGTTGTACATTTACTCAAAAGTAGGTTAAACACCGTTTTCGAAAGGCATAACTCAAAATACGAATCTGTCTTTGATTAACCTTTCAGTGGCATATGATTCTCCAACAATTCTCTATTACTATACGACTTTAAGGGTGCGCAAAATGTACTCATGCTCCCTTTAGGTATAACAAGGAGTCAGTGTCGTAGTACTCCACTCACCTCCCAGCTGCAACTCTGCTGCTCCCTGCGCCGTCTCACCCTCCGCCCTCCTCACCATGCACTGGTACATCCCCTGGTCCTCCCTGGTGATACCGGTCAGTACCAGAGCGTCCCCGCTGGACATCCCCGGAAGCACGCGGCCATCCTTGAACCATGTCATGAGGTAGGTGCCTGGCGGAGAAACCACGCAGCGGAACTCTCCTGTGCCTCCCAGGTGAACTGACAGCACTGTTGGGGACACCTGGATGGTAGAAGGGGGTGATTAGAGGTGCAATTTCGTTACATATCAAAATTTGAAAAATTTCGTTTTCAAAAGCTATAAAATTTTTCATCATGTATCAAATTAAGTAAAAGCAAATTGCTGTTATCAGTACCACTTGATAGGTTTAACCTTCAGTATCTAATAGTCAGTGGTTTAACTTAGAATTTTGAAAACTAAATTGCTTGAAAATGAAAATCCGTCCAGCTCTATCAGCTGTAACAATTTCAGTAGGTTTTTGACGATGGAAAAAAATTGGGAACAGGTCTCATCGTTAACTCAAATAATCGTTTTAACCATACATGGTTGCTTAACACCTAATTCCTTATAATGAATGTAATTTGAATTATTTGCATTAAAAGTGAACAGTTTGCACTGAATGATGTAAGTACATGTATTTTGGTTGTTTAGACTGTTCACATAAAGACCATAATCCACTAATAAAGGAACATTTCAGAGTGAGTTATGGAAATGAACTAGCCAAATAGAAAATTTTTATTTTCTTCAGACCCTAATAACACAGTAAATTGGTTTTCGAAAATTTACTTTTCTTTATATAATTGTAACTGAAGCAAAAAAATAATTTTCTCTTAACCTTCAATCTAGTTTATCCCAGTAATAATCACATTCATCATGTACACAGTTTTACTGCAGTAATTCGGTTATTTCTTATTATTGAATAACTGTTTTATTGGCATCGTACGTGTTATTAAATTACCGTACCTTAAAACACAAAAATACGGACAATAACACTTATATTAATATATTTACACTTATAAGGTTTACTCACAAGACATACAAATGATACATATACATAATAAAATAAATAATAGACAAAATACATATAAAACATGGTTAAGTATAAAAGATTGTAAGTGATGATCGATTTCGATTGGATACTCCAATCATTGTAGGTAGTACATTGGGTCTGATGATTGGAGTGTCCAATCGAAATCGATCATCACTTACAATCTTTTATAAGTATTTACCGTCTTTTAAATAAACAGTATAAGTGTAAATATTATTATAAGTGTTATTTTGACGCATTTGTGTGTTTTCAGGTGATTTTTATTTTAAATTTCAAAGTAACCACACCAACTTCGTTTTACCTCGACATGCAGTGTGTTGGTGACCACAAGCCTAAGCTCAGCACTGGCCTCCCCACCAGCGTTAGTGGCAGAACACCTATATATCCCAGCATCCTCGTCTGTTACCGCCTCTATAGCCAACACTGGCCCTAACATCCTGGCCCTGGTACCGGCCACTACTGCCACTGCGTCGTACCCCGGCTGGACGTGGTACCACCTGGAAAAAGTTTAAAGTAGTTTTTTTGGAACTATTTAGATTTTCTGTACTTTTTTTGTCCTAGGCATTAGTCATGAGCCAGTAATTGTTTCCACATTGCCTAGGGGTTGCTGCATTATCACTTAGATAAAATCCAATGGTGATTTGGTGGGATTTGAACCCGGGACCTCAAGGACCGAAGTCCCGTGTTCTTGCACTAGACCCCCTCGCTCCCCCAGTTAGATTCTTGAGGGTTTACATCCCACAAATATAGTGATAATGCCGCAAACTCTCTTGACATAGCCTGAAGTAACGTATAAAGTTGTCCAGGTCTAGAACCTAAGTCTAGGTGTAGACGCAACATAAAATAGGACGTGCGAGAGGTAAATTATTATCTTAGAAATCGTAAACTGGTTGTGTTTGGTTATCCATTATTTTTCTTTGAGGACTTTGATATTGGCAGTGAACGTGCTCAAGTAATATTCTTAAGTAAGGTATACATGTTTTATCCAGCTAAATCAATTATTGTATTTTTATCGTGAATAGTGCTAAAATAAAAATAAAAAACACTCAAGATTTAACATATTATTGTGAAAGCAGCACCGTCCGTGGAAAATGTATTACCAATAATCGTAACCCTTCCATATACTGAAACCACAAAACAGTGAGTACTACTTATTTATATTATAGCTCATGGACATTTATAAGTTAAGTAGACAATTAATAAGCAATATATTTCAAATTGTGTGTAATCAAATTCAACTTAATGCCTGTAAGGCCACGTACCTAACTACCACAAAATTTAAACTACTTATGCATTAATTTTACTATAAATAGTAAACATATATATTTCTATTCCTACGAATGATAATTAGATGGAAAATAAGTTTTTGGCTGTACTTAGCAGAACATCTATTTATCTTAAACAATTTTAAAACATTTTGGCTATGGCCACATCTCAAGACCTTATAAGAGTCTACAAATTTTTAGATTTGAGTATACATTATACACTGATTATGAAGTGACCACCTGGCAATAATCTTAACAGAGTTGAGCTGTTTACCCCCTACACATGAGGTTTTTGACACAAAGCAGATACTCGAGATACAAAGGGCGAGTGTTTACCTATAATCAGGCGAAGGACATCCCTGGGCCAAACACAACAACACGGCCCCTTCGTCGTGCGCCACTTGTACTGTGGGAGAATGTTCCACCATCACTGGCGTCACAATACCTCGGTGCTCTGTAGGACAAGTAAACATGTGGTAAAAATAGTAGGGAAGTGTTAATATACAGTTTGAAAACACGAAAGATATATAACTTATTTGTGATATAGTAAGTATGTATATTGTAGCTTTTGTTATTAAGAGATTATTGGGGATAATATTTGTCACGATCAGTAACAAAAAAGTGTTAACGATGTTTAACGACATGGTCAATGTTTTCTTGAGGTCAGAAGTAAAAAAATTGAACGTTATTAGTATACGTAATAAAAAAAAATACTTTGAATGAAATAAACTTACAATTCCCAAAAATGAGCTCGAAAAAAGAAATAGCACCTTTTCCGTCAATTCAGTGATGGAATGTATTTTTTTTTAGATTGTTTACAAATTCTTTTGTTATAATTCTCTACAAATCCTATACAAAATTGGGTTATTTTATTTTAGGTTGGGTTGGGTTCAGTTAGGTCACAACCAAAACAAAGGTCAAAACTACACTCATGTATTGGTAGCATACACAGTAGTAGTGCTTTTAATGAAAGGTAAACTTAGCAAAAACTTAGTTTGCTTTCCTACTTAGTTAATGGAAACTACCTAATGATTTAGGCTCGTATTAAGGTTGAAATGGAGTTAACGTTAAAGTTTTACAGCAGTAAAGATTTACGGTTAGACATGTGATTTATAGGGACACCACATGCAATTACCCGCAGTTTCTCTTGCAATTGAGTAGTATGTTTACTATATTTTTTACAGACACCAATGAAGTCCTAACAGAGTCACTTGAATTCAAATGTACGAGGGGCTAAAATAAGCACTAATGGTGGTTAATTCAAATTAAAAAATAAAGAAAACCATCCAACACATAGAAAAGGAAAAAAACTAAACTAACTAAGGTTGGCCATACTTCTAGATCTTAAGGAGAGTCTAGAACCAAAAGCCTTTCACCTATAACTAAGCAATATTATCTAGTAAACTAATCAAAGAGATTATCTTTCTTAAAACAGATCTTAAGAATCCCAAGAAAGTTGGGATGAGCTGTGAATTATTGTTATTTAAACTAGTTTGATACCTTTTACTCATAAAATTACTTTAAAATACATTACCAATTATCATAAATATATTTCTTTCAAGGGTTGGATTTTGTAGCAGAATCACTTTTTGCGGTGTTTTAAAATCAAATAAATTCAATTTCAGCTATAATAAAATATTCTCTCCATATAATGTTTACGTAAAAGTGAAATTACTATGTAGATGAGAGGTTTGAAGGATACCACATCCAGGGTACATCAAAGGGAATAATTCTATGTACCCTAAAAGTGATGGGTTAAGCAAGTGTTTACTGATATAATGCTTGTTGACTTATCTCAAAGTTGAATCATACAGGGTTTCGATGGTTATCATCAAAGCGTTATCAAAGGCTGCTACATGGCAAAACACTTTCATTGTTGACTTTGACAAATTATTCTTGCTGAAGTGTTGAAAGCATAAGTAAAGTGGCATGTATTAATACCCCTTTAAAAACCGACAGTGCTTTTGATAAATGTTCAAAGGTGAAATACCTGTTTAATGTATGAAATGGTCAAAGAAACTAATGTTGTTTTTGGAGAGTATTTTTGTGTTTTAATCCGTTTTATTACACTCTGTAATTTCATAAAATATTATTTAAGAATTCACATTTAAAAACAGATACATTTATTTATTTATACATTTATTTTCAATATTGTAAAATCCTCTTCGGGTTTCGAAAGGAAACGTAATTTTTACATCAAGTCAGCCAAATCGCGATTTATAAAATAACGGGATCAAGCTTTTCTTACTCATTGAAGTCGAAAGTTGGTACTCAGTAAAATAAAATGTGAGAAATTTTTTTATTAAATTCACGTTGGCTGGTTGACAGCGAGAGTTAAATGAACGGAGATCTTTTACCACGAATTGAATTGATTTGCACGGACTCTACTTTCAATAACCAGAGAACTTTGTAGTTTAAGTTCTGACACTACTTTGTCTAAAAAGCTATACCCTTCTACATCTCACTCTAGTCTTATATTTGGATGTAGGTATGAGTAGTTCCGTTACCTGACCTATCAAACTATCCACTACATACTACCTATCTAAGCGTACCTATCTTACGAGTACTATTGACCCGATGGCTGTGATATAATCATGGTATTATATGAGAAAAGCACTTGTTCCTACTCACCCTGTATTCTGACGTTTGCTGGCGAGCTGACCTCCACTTGACGAGTCAGTCTGTGTCTTGTACGACATCTGTAGGCGGGGAACTGATCACTGAACTCCACATTGTTTACCAACAGCTCTCCTGATGGTAGAACGTGGAATTTGCCATCTGCGAAAAATATATAAATATCTAAATGTGAACAGCTTTTGGGAACCGTGGGGTTTCAGGGGTAATACCATACAAAACTGCTCTCCTGTAGTAGATAGTGGAACTTGCCATCTGTGAGGAAGGGGAAGCGGGTAAATCTGAACAAAATGTGACACAATGGGGTTTCTGGAAAAAGCTTAGGATTTTTGAGGGAAAGAACATCCAAAGTTATGGATGTGTTAGTACTTCAAAAGGCAACACAGTCAATGGGAGCATTGTGCTCCACTATAGACTAAAATATGGATAAGATAAGGGCCTTAGTCTCATAAAGCTTACGACTCTTAAACCCAATGAAGTAGAACAGAAGCCACGTAAACATACCTTACCTTCCACACACATAACTTGCCTTCCAGGTGGATAAAAAATTGACTATCTTACATTTAAACAAGTTATTTTTTCATCGGTCCATTGCTATCATCCTAGTACCCTAGTTGTACTGTATTCTCAAAAAAATGGTCTAACCTCACCTAAAAGTGTAAATCTGGAAATGATTAAGTAATATTGATAGAATGTACATACGAAATACAATACTGCACATAGAGGGTACACCATCCGGCATTCTGGAAACAGTTTTCAGATTTCTTCTGTGTTTTATTGACTTATATTACGTTATTTTACGGTTTTCGCTCTTCACTAAACAGAGGTTGCATGGTATCTATTATATTTTTAAAGTGATACAGTAAAATATTTGGTCATCGTTTAAGACCATTGAGCAGATACAAATATAGGCATTGAGCGACGTGAAGCTCAAAGTGTTTAGATTTGTCGAAAAGTATTGATATGAACTAATTCACAAACTCTGTCCCATGCCTTTTATGCTTTTGAAGATTACATTATTTAACAAATTGAATGAAACATTACTTGAAAGGGGTTTCGATGATTTTTTATATTTACAAAATTGTAACCTTATGTGAGGTTAATTCCAATTTCAAAACAACTACATACTGCAATTCAAATTTTAATACGTGGGAAATGTTAAATGATTTAACACAAAGTTATGTGTTTTTTTATAGCATACGTTTCCCAATGTGTTTTAATACTTTTTTCTTTAATACTTTTTATTAACTGGCAACCATACAAAGTAGGTATTTTAAGCCAGGTATGAATAGAGACGAGTGTATGATGAGTGACTTTTAAAGTTGTAAGAGGTCCAACAAAGTAGATTCTGCAACCCTAACAATGTTACAGTCGTTAAAGCACCAAACACCGGAGAATGTGGTAATCAGGCGTCCACAAACGCAAAGGTAACATCAAAATGTACCTTAGTGGGTTTTAGTGTAGATAAGCTTGGACATGAAAGAGCCTTATAATGCCTTATAGACCCAAGGAATATGCTTTATAATGTTTATTATGTCCATTGACATCAAAAGTCGTGTACGATAAGAACATTTAATATTAACTTTCTTGATAGTTTCAGAGGTATTAAATAACTATAACATGTAGTTTCATTTTTTAATATAAATTGTATTTTATTTATCTCCTCACTACTTATTTATGGGATTTCATGTTCTCACTTTGCAAGGGATATGTTTACGCATTGTTTCAGACTAGATCAAAGAGTTGAGGCATTGGTTAAAATATCCACTGGCGGGATTTGAACCTGGGACCTCAGTAGTGGTAATAAGCTGGGTTTACCCCACTTCCGGCATTTTTTGGCCCATTTTTAGAGGGTATGGAGACGTTTATAGGGGCACTGGAGACGTTTTAGAGGCTTTATGTTGGCATTTTTGCATTTTTTCTCCGAGAGCTTTTTTTGACCACTTTTTTAAAAATCCAGCTCTTGACCTATACAAGCCTATATCAAATATTCAATATCAAGCCAAAAAAGCTATTTCTTATATTTATTGACCCTTACAAGTGTAAATGTAAAGTAGTGGTAATAAGCTGGGTTTACCCCACTTCCGGCGTTTTTTGGCCCAGAACTTTTAAAATTTTCGGCGAAAAAAATGTCCGAAGCCCCAGGAGCTTTTTTTGGCCACTTTTCTTAAGGACCTAGCTCTCGACCTATACACCCATATATAAATTTTTTACTTTTTTAATACTGAAAAACACGTCTGGAAATGGTGAGCTTTTTTTGACCACTTTTTTAAAAATCCAGCTCTTGGCCTATACAAGCCTATATTAATGTTCAATACCATTGTACAACTTCAATCCACATCCATTCACAAGTATATTCTCAAAATCGATCGAGGTTTGTATGTGAACTCGGGTGCGCTCCCGGCTCATGGCGTGGGTATGCTCCAGGCTTCTTGTTCTCGACCCATGCTCCCACATCTCGTCTCTAGTGGTGACGTGCTCCCTTGGATATCCTTAGTGGAAATCCATGAGTTCTGGCTACTTGGGAATCCAAGCCATTTGACATACAACGAATCACCCTTTCTCCTAATTACCTTCTCTACCAAATACATGTCCTTATACTTGGTCTTTAACAACTCCTCTGTATAGAAGCCTCCCCTGATTATATTGCCATTTTCATCTTTCAAGATATAAGTCACAGGCTTTGTATTCTTAACTTCTGCTATTGTAAATAGTTCCCCTGTCCAATTTGGAGTATAACCTTTACTAAAAACATGTTTATACTTGGAAATCCTTATGCTATCACCTACCTTATATCTTGGCTTTTTAACTTGCACTACTTTAGAAGTCCTTTCATGCAACCTCTCATGCACATATTTACTATTCTTAACATTCACTTGGTTAGGCTTCATTCCTATAGATCTATGCACTTTATTATTATATTTTCGAATTAACTTTGGAAGTAAATCCAACCATTTATAACTCCCCTGAGCACTAAATTCTCTATATAACCAATTCTTTAAAGTTCTCTGAAACCTCTCCACAATTGCAGCCTTAGTTGTAGAAAATGTGTGATAGTGATTAATATTTAATTTTTTCATTAGTTTGCTAAAATATTGATTAAAAAATTCTTTTCCATTGTCAGATTGAATGTTTTTAACCCCCTTTGGTAGAATGGTTTTAATGGCTTCTGTAACCACTAACCCTGTCTTATTCTTTAGTGGAGCAGCATAAGCTTTTTTAGAAAATGTATCTATTAAAGTTAAAATATATTTATTGCCAGAATTTTCTCTAGCATAGTTTTGCATATCAACTAAATCTATTTGTACGGTTTCATTTATACCTAATACTTTGAAAGACCTTCTTATGAAATTCTTTCTTGCAGGTTTATGAAGTTCGTATGCAATTTCATTCATTTTTTATAACATCATCCTTTCCTGTAACTCTAAATACATCACCATTAGCCCCAATCAATAGATTATCTTCCATTCTTTTAAATACATAGTTTTCTGGTATATATGGTCTATTATCTATATACTTAAATCCACTCAAAGATGTGGGGTCAGCAACTAATAAATCAGGATTATATTCCATCAAATTAAAAAATTTTTCTCCATATACAAATTTTGATCCATCGTAATGCATAGCCTGTGACATTAGACAAATGTCATCCGAATGTTCCCCTTTTGGTAGATTTCTTATAAATAGATTTCTGGCATCAAAACAATATAGTTTTTTATTATAAGTTATAGTCTGTTCTTTTATAACACAGTCAGTGTCATCAATGGCAGGTTTAACACGTACTAACCTTTTATTATTAAAATTCCAATAGCCTGCTTCCATTTTTGGAACTTGTGAAACATTCACAGCATCTTTACTATCTGTACCTTCCATCAAATCACTAAGTTTCTGTTTCTTAGCATTCCAAACACCATTCTCTGATTCTAAAAATTCATAATTACTATCGTCTTGTACAAATTTACCATCTTCTTTTCGTATTAAAGTCTGTTGTAAAGTGGGCACATCATCTAAACTTTCGCCCTTTTCTACATTAGTAATTTTCTGTTTCTTAGCATTCCAAACACCATTTTCTGATTCTAAAAATTCATAATTATTATTGTCTTGTACAAATTTACCATCTGTTCGTATTAAAGTCTGTTGTAAAGTGGGCACATCATCTAAACTTTCACCTTTTTCCACATTAGTAATTTTCTGTTTTTTAGCATTCCAATTTTTATTCTTGGATTCTAAAAACTCATATTTAGTTTTACCTTGTAAAAATACATCACCTTTTCTAGTTAATGTCTGTCCCAAAGTTGATACATCATCTACAAACTCCCCATCTTTAACATTACCAATTTTACGGTTTAAACCATTCCAACTATCGTCTTGTAAATTTAAAGTAGGTTTACTACTAGCCCTGGGTTCTGCAGGCTTATTATATGGATTATATAAACGATAAAATTTATCTATAAACATATTTTTATTTAATAAATAATTCCACTTTCTCTCAATTCCTCAATAATGGAATCTATTTCATTATCCACTCCTGAGTTACCGGCTTGGCGACTTAGCCAAAGAAGTCTTAACCTATCTACAAGCTCATTAGGATCATCCCAATAAATATAGTCTATTTTATTACCAGTCACTTGTCTCAAACCTTCACCAACAGATCTAAATAGAGGTTTAATTATATTAAGATATTTAGTATGTCTATTACTTGAAATTGGTGCACCATCTTTGTAACTCTTTAAATGTCCATTTGTAGCTTCTAAAATCTCTTTATAATTTTGCAAATCAGCCGGAGTATAATCCTCAGGTTCTTTTAAAGTTAACAATTGCCACAAACCTTTTGTCCCCTTGTAGGTTTTATTTGCAATTGTAACATCATCATTGGCAATATTAACTTCCTTATTTCCAATAAAAAATTTATTTGCTTCTCGTCTAATACCATATGTAGTGTCTGTCATACTACTTTTACTGAGGTAATTTCCTAAATAGTCTGATGCTAAAAGACCAAAATCTAATTTCTGTGGGGTGTGTGTTTGTAATGGTTGCAATCTTGGTATCATTGATATTCTAGACGGAGTCATTGGGAGAATCTCCATTCGAGGCCTCTCTGATGTGATTTTTTTTAATTCTTGTAATGGCTCTATTAAAGGTTG